CTGGAGCTGTGGATGTGGGTGGTGGGAGGTCCTTCCTACCCAGGTCCTCTGGAGAAACAGCATGTGCTCATAACCACCAAGTCATGTCTCCAGCCCCAGAAATCAGAATGGAAACACCAGCACATGCTGTTGGTGGCATTTATGTAGCAAGTGGTGTGTGGTCGAGTCTGGGGTGGGGGTCGGGTAGCTGGCCCCTGCTTTCAGAGAACTTGTAGCCTAGAAGAAGCAGATGCATTAACATGGTGGAGTATAGATGAGTTTGGGCGGGGGCACAGTGATACAGTAGGCTGCTCTGGGGGAGTCCTCTGTAGCAGAGTGTGCCTCCGGAACTCCTTGGCAACCTGGGCAAAGGGGAGCAGCCGGGTATGTTTTCTCTGTCCCTGAGGGTCGGTTGAGCAGGTGGCGGGAACGGGAAGAGTATTCCAGCCAGGGACACCCCACTCACTGAGATAGTGGGGTAGGGAAGCCGTAGATCGCAACCCAAAGGGCAGGAAGAAAGGCTGCTAGGAAGAGCTGGGTAGAAGTTCTTCCGACACAATCACTAATTGATGTTGGCGCTGGGCACCCCTCAGGTTGATTCCTTTTGCCTGCTTTTAAAGTCCCATGGGAATACACTTGACCTCACACCACTCCTGTGAAGTGGTTAGATGTGGTAATATTCTCCTCTATCACAATAAGGAAATAGTCCTAAGAGGTTGGATTTTATCCAAGATCACTGAGCAGGTCGTGAGCAAAGCCACCCTAGAGAAGCTGGGATCTTTTGGCTCTCCTCTTCAGTGTCCACCCTCTGTGGCCCCATTTCCTGGTAAGCCTTAATGAAAATAGGATCATTCTATAAAAAAAAAAAAATGCGGTTCCGTTGGAACTTGATGCCAAACTGAGCATGGCAGGAGCCTCCAGTCTTGGTGGCGAGTGTTTCTTCTGCTCACTTCCTCTTAGCTTAGCGAAACCAAGTTCAGGAGACCTGTAAGTGCTCTTCATTTTGGTGTCTAGGAGGCCAGAGATCAGACTGTGGCCAGAATTCTGCTTTTTTTAGTCTGAAGCACTTGCATGATGTAGTAGTGAGAGGCAGTGAAATGTGAACCCCCAAACTGAGCTTTGCTGCTTGTAGAGAGAAGGGAATGAAGAAACATGTTCTTTAATGGTCTTGATCATGCATAAAACAGAAACCCAGGTCTCCCAGGAGTGTTTGTCTCAGGCACAGTCAGTCTTTGGAAAGCCAGTTTGACGGAATCTTGAAGCTCGGCTCAGCTGTTTCAGAGCTTTCGTGTGACCTTGTGTGACACACAATTTTAGTCTGCCTGCTGTGAAAACTGCCTGCCTACCACAGTGGCTGATAGGAGAATGAAACTGGATATTGCACACCAACCCTGAGACATTTTAATTGATCTTAAGGGTTTTTTTGGTAATAGGGATGTATATCTTGGGGCTGATGGATGCATTTAGTGGACTGATTTCTCCATGCCAAGCCTAGTGATCAATTTTATAATCAATGGTTCAATTGGAGGGAATTATAGTATGTTTAAGAGTTTAATGCAGTGCCAAGTATAATATGCCCTCCATAAGTAGCTGCTATATTCTCTGCTTAATTGAGTAGGGCTGTTGTTCTTGGCTTAAGGCCATGCCTACCCCAGTGGGGAAGTGAGCCTGCTGGAGCATCGGTCTCTATAGAATCCACGTGTGACAGCAGAGACCGCGGGAGCCATAGTGGCACACCTCCTCCAGGAGTGTGGACACTGAGTGTGTGCAGGAGTCCTGGTAGGGCACACCTCCTCCAGGAGCGTGGACACTGAGTGTGTGTGGGAGTCCTGGTGGGGCACACCGTCTCCAGGAATGTGGACGCTGAGTATGTGTAGGAGTCCTGGTGGCACACCTCCTCCAGGAACGCGGACACTGAGTACAGAGACAACAGTCAGAGCTGGGACTGAGTCAGACTTGGTACCCTTAGGGAAAGCCCTGCTCTTCTTGATGATCAGTTATTGATTTTGGTGTTGTGTTTTATTATCTTGTGTTCCGTAAGAAATCTTTTTAAAAACCTGCCATTGAGTTTCAGCTGGCTAGCCAGGACTGGTTGTTCATTCTTTGGCAAGAACTGCCAGGAGAGCCTGGTTCTGCTCAGCAGGAAGGGCAGTACAGAGCCTGAGCCCTGCAGGAGGATGTGGATTTTAAGAGCCAGATTAGCACACGGGTTTGCTCAAAATCTCCTCCCTTTTTGGGAGGTTTCCTTTCGGTGGCAGACTCTGAGGTGCCGAGCTGTACTTTATTTCATGAGGCAGCCTGTTCTTACGCTACAGAAGGACCTGGTTCTCTGACTTGGCTCTACTTTGGGGGAGAGAAGAGGCGAGGCGGAACATCTGATAGATTAGAGCTCTCATAGCTTCTTTTATTTGTGTTTCGCAGTTATTTGTTTAGGTGTGCACATGCGTGCATATGGCATGGCACACGGGCAGAGGCCAGAAGAAAGCTAGTGGGATTTGGTTCTCTCCTTCTACTGTTGTGGCTTGTGGGGATCGAACTCAGGTCATCGGGCTTCATACCTCTACGCACCGAGCAGTCTCACCAGTCCTTTTAAATGTAGGTTCCAAGGTAGCCCGGTGCATGTAGGAGGGCTAGTAAGAAAGGGCACTAACCTTCTCTGCAGCAGTTCAGGGTGTGTGAACATGGGGATATGGGTAGGAGAGAGCCCAGGAGTCAAATGCTGTCCCCAGGAAGCAGAACAAGAGGTTGTGAGGCCCCTTTTAGCACTTTGTAGGCATGAAATTACCTCTAAGGAAAACACACCTTGGAGGGTTACTTCCCACCTCATTCTGTGTCTTGGAAAGAATGGGCAAGCTCTTTTGTGGGTCCTCATCACAGCATGATTTTCCATTTCCACTAATTGCCAGCCACTTTGACTGAATTCCCACTTGCATCCTTGCCCCAGGCAGGGGGAGGGGACTATTGTCCTGAGACCTAGGAGTCCCAGTCTCTGTGCCATTCACTTCACTTCTGATGGTGACTTCTCTAATCCCGGCTGTCAGTCATTGAAATCAGCATATAGTCATATTTTATGCCCAGGTGAAAACACCATTTTTTTGGATCTGACATTTATCCTAAAATATGGCACTATCATTTGGTCCAGGTTTTTGACATCTTTTGATGGTTTTTGGAAACTAAAAGCTAGTTTTGACCTGCAGAATGTCTAGGGATGAGGTTGATGGATGCAGTAGGGTAGGGTTTCCTTAACTGTCTCTGGGCATAGCTCTGAACTTCTTGGCCATGACTCAGAAATGACAGGCTCCAAAAATGTCTACAGAATTACCACCATCAGGGTATTTACTTGTTTTGAACATGTACCAAGGCAGATCCCATTGCATTTTAATTTTGACCTGACTATTAGACTCAATTACAGCATGATGCAAAAGTTGTACCCTTTTTTCTTTTTATTGTTTTTAGTTAGACCAAGACAAAAGGGTGGATTAATAAACCTCAATTGTGAGTTAGTAACCAATGTTACAGTATAGTACACTTTTTGGTTTCTCGAGACAGGGTTTCCCTGTGTAGTTTTGGTGCCTGTCCTGGATCTTGCTCTATAGACCAGGCTGGCCTCGAACTCACAGAGATCCACCTGGCTCTGCCTCCTGAGTGCTGGGATTAAAGGTGTGCACCACCACCGCCCGGCTATAGTGCACTTTTAAGTTGTGGCGGAGACCAAGGTAAGACCGCTCTGCATCTGCCTGTTACCTGTGAGGTGGCACACTGACCAGAGCATCACCTGCGTGAGAGTGGCAAAGATACGAGGGCCCGGGGCATTATGGTACTCGCTGTATGCATGGCGGCTCAGCATTGACACGGAACAAAAGGGGCTGTTCCATTGAAAGCTGCAGATTTGTGGGCTGCGTACCATGTTTCTAATGTAGAGAAATTATTTTAGATTTAACCTTTTTGTTTCCTTTGTACTTACAAAGGACGTACAGACCATAAACTGGAGTTTCCCCGGCGCTGTCTGTGATGGTGATACTTGTTTCTGTTTAGCTAAAGATGAAGAGGAAGCCTAAGTAGTGGACCTTAGCTCCAAGTCACTAAAGTCACTAAGTCCTCTCCCTGTTTGTTGTCCTTTATGCACATATAGGCATGTGTACATACGTGTGAGTGTGCTTCTGTAGAGCAAAATTCCAGCGGAAGTGAGATAAGACTCAGCTGTTATTAAAAAGTGAGTAGTTTAGGTGCTAGAGAGATGGCTCAGCAGTTATGAGATCATAGCCATCTTCCAGAGGACCTGAGTTCAATTTCCAGCACCCATGACATGCAGCTTACAACCTTGTGTGACTCCAGCACTGGGGGTTCTGACATCCTCCTCCGGCCTCTGGGAGTACTTACGTATATCACACATACAGACACACACAGATACAGACACACACAGACAGACACAGAGAGAGAGAGACAGAGACAGAGAAATCTTTAAACAAAATGAGTTTTAGAAAACTGTAATGAAGAGCTGAGTTTTAGAAAACTGTAATGAAGACCTATCCGTGACCGGCCTCTGGCCTCCACTGTGGCTGCAGTCATGTTGAGATGATCTATCTCCGTGTCTGTGTTCTTTTAGCATGGCTTATCACTGGATGGTGTCGGAAGTTAACCAGCTGTGTTGCCTGCTTCCATCTTTTGCCTCCATTTCTGTTACATCCTGTGTCCTCTTAGATTCACCAAGTTCCTCCCTCCCTCCCTTCTCTCCAGCATGCCTTCCTTCCCCCTTCTTCCTTCTTTAGCAGGGCACTTACACACAATGTTTCAGAGACACATTTTAGTTGGGTGTGGGTGCGTGTGTGCCGCCAGCTTTCCTGCTCTTCCCCACGATGAACTCGGTGACTCTTTCTTCCATAATGCGGTTACTAGTGCTTTGATGGTACAGGGTGGGTCCTGAGGCGAGCCTACCTGTGCTCATCCACACCCGGACCCACCACGATCACCGCTCCCACCATCCAGCTTTTTAAATGAGCTTTCCTTCCTTTCCTTTGCAGCAGACACTCTCCAATGAAGTTCACTGTGTTGAAGAGATTCTGAAGGTGAGTTCATAATTAACCGTGTGTCATTGGAAGAAATCCTGAACCAGACAGATGCTCATGTGATCTCAGTTTCCTGAGCAGTGCCATTCCAACACGGAACATTATTCAGGTCTCTACCAGATTTTACTTGCCAAGATGAAGTTTACAAACTGCAAGAAGTTTGAATCAGAGTTTTACAAATTTCTCAAGTTTTCTGCTTGTCCATAGCCACGGATGACGGGTGCTCACTTCCCAGAGAAGAAACACCTTATGTGGGTGTAGCATGGGGGACACCAGGCTTAAATAGCCCCATATCCTGATTCTCACTTTTTAGACAGAGAAACCTGGTGCGCATGGCCTCTTTAATGAGATTTTGAAACTTTAAAGAGCTGAGTGTGGTGGTGTATGCTTTTTTATTCCCAGCACTCCACAGCAGAGAAAGACAGATGATCTCTGTAAGTTTCAGACCAGCCAAGGCTACCTAGTGAGATCCTGTGTGCCTCTCTTACACACACACACACACACACACACACACACACACACACACACACACACACACACACACACACGGAGCAGGGAGGGAGGGAGGGAGGGAGAAAGGAATGATCATATTTAGACTTCCTTACTGGGTTCTTTTTGTTTGTTTTTCTTTGCTTATTGTGAGTTCTGTGAATGCCTTACTTCTGTAAATGGATCACCATATGTGTATCACCTCTCCTATCTCTTCCTGTATTCTATCTCCTATGTCCTGTATCCACATTACCCACTTGCTCTGATTTTCTTGCACTAGAACGATGTATTCCTTAAACAAAACAAAACAAAAAAATCCTACTAGATTTTTCTCTTGAACTTCGTCAAGTCAGAGAACTGAATAAACTGTCATGTGACCCAGTTTGCCTTGAATTCCTAGGAATTCAGAGCTTAATGTATTGCTTGTATAGAGTAATTGTAGTAATTAGGGGGTTTATATGCTTCTTACTCTCTCTCTCTGGCTTATCACTTGCTTCTGTTGGTCTTAATGTTCTTGTGTCTCTTTTTATAAAGTTTGATTTTTTTTTTGAAGTTCTGATCTATATATTTCTTTCTCTACTGTTCATTTTTTCCCTCTAAAATACATATTTACCCCCAAATATACTTTGAATCCACAACCTTCATTAAAAAAATACTAACCAATGCTACTGTTTGAAGCCAGCAAGTAAGGATATTGGTTATTTTTTTTATTTGTGAGTATTTACTTATCTATCTATCTATCTATCTATCTATCTATCTATCTATCCTTTACAAAAGGTATTTGGGCAGATATCCGAAGTGTACTGGCATCATCTCTGTCTTGCACCAGTGTTCATCCTTTTGTCCTTGGGGCTTTTCTGTTACTCTGCAGAGGCCTGTTTTGAAATGCTAAAGGCTGATGTTCTTGCCAACTAGCAAGGACGGTGAATATTTAACTAATTACCTTGCTCAGGTTTTGGTATCAGCCTTTACCTCTCGTGGTCCTAAAATGCTCCATTTATCAACTAAAAAAAAATAGTGTCTTAATTATAAATTCTCTGAAGCAGTTTGTGGTCTGTTCTGTATTTACCCAAAAGCCACTGAGAGGATGGGCCTTCCTCTGCCTCCCGAGTGCTGGGATTAAAAGCATGCACCACCACTGTCCAGCTTTCTTGTTAGATTTTGATATTTGTTAGTTGAAGACAAACTGAATCCTTTCTTCAGGGATGATAGTGTTATAGTACTGGGCACTAGTAAAAGCATCCACCTTCTCCCAGTGCCACTTTAATGCACTCAAGTACTGGGAATGCTTGAGCAAAAAATGCAAGCAAAGACTGTATGTTTCCACTTTGAACCCAGAAGTGACAGCTGGAAGATGCCCAGACACCCCAACTCTGTCCTTTCTGTTCCACCTCTCTGAGCTAGTGGGGACCCCAGTGCACTGTACCTGTCTTTCCTGTCCTGACCCAGTGTCCTCTGCCCAGGGTTCCCACTCTTGATCTTATGTCAACAATTTATTCAGATTGCCAGGAGTCCACTGACAGTTCCCTAAGAGTACAAACCAGCCATGGATGATGTACGACGCTTGGTGTCAGTTTTCACTGGTTCTCAGGGGCCATGTTTAGGCTGAAAGTGTTTTTTCTAATGAAGGGGAAGCGGTGTACTCCCTGAGACCTGCAGCACGTCCTGTGTTTGAGTGGCCTGGTCCCAGGGGCCTTGGAAGAATACGCGTCGGCCTCACCCCAGTGCAGCCGTCTTGCTGGCTTCATACAGAGTGGCATTATTGCTTTCTTATTCATCTATTTGCTATCCCGACACAATTTTAGATACTAGGATGCCAGTAAAGAGGACAGAGTCATTGCTTTCGTGGGGACCAAGGTAGGAAAGGAAAAGTTACAATGCAGTGATAGGGGCAAGAACAGACAGACAGACAGACAGACCAGTGAACAAAGGAAGTGGGTGAATAGTGAGGTGAAGTCTTAAGGTTAGACAGGTTTGTGTTTTAGAGAAACAGCTAGAGCAACACAGCAGGTCTGGGGGAAAATGAGCAAGGAGGAGAGAGGAGGCTCCCGATGGGGGAGGGGGCCCAATGGGGGAGGGGCCGAAGGGCGAGGGATGGAGTGGAGTCAAGTCTGAGCCTCCAGACTACCTGCTCAACTTTCTCTTCTTTGTAATGGCCCCAATTTTCCTAATGCCTGAGGCATTTAGGGAAATGTGGAATTCTTTCAGACCAGGAACCACTTAAGATTCTGCAAGAGTTTATGTACCTCACAGCTGCCTGATTCCTTGGGGCACACAGCCTTAGGCTACGGGCACTGTTAGGGGTAATTGGTAGTAAAAGGTCACAGATGTCATCACAACTCCAATAAATTCTTGGAAAACATTAGGATGCTGTTTCAAGCTCTTCAGTGACTTCCACACCAAGCGTATGCCGACTGAGCAAAGAAGCTCACTGGGTAAAGGATTGAAACGCCTGGAAAACTATGTTTCAGTTAAATGCAGGCGATGGCTGATGTTGGGTGCAGGCTTCAGTCTCAGCAGCAAAGAGCCTGAGGCAGGCGCCCCAGGCGGGCAACCTCTACCTAAAGGTTGTGCTGTTTCTACTTAACTGTCTTTTGATTCCATGTACCCGAGCACTTACTTAAATTACCCTCACAAAAGTAAGTGGTCAGAGCTTATCTTTTAGTGAGAGCTGATGCCCAGAATTCAGGCCACTCTTGCTGACAGAGATCCAGTTGGGGCAAAGCAGATGGCCTGTAACCAATAAGGTATGAGTTCACTTTTAACAAGTAGTCAGAGCCCACACCAGGGGCTGGAGAGATGGCTCCGTTGTTAAGAGCAGAGTGTCTTTAAAAAACAAGCAAACCAATAAATCTCACATCAGTCATGTTGCCTCAGCACATCCAATGTCTCTTACTCTCACCTGTTGCTGTGACCACTCACCAGGGCAGTAGGGAAGAGCCAGTAGGTAGGGTGGTCCTGCATGTATGTGCCCAGAGGCCATCTTCCCTTGTTGAGAAGCCAGGATGGCATCACTCAGACAGGAGCCAGGCAGGGTCTTGACAGGCACGCAGTGCTACGCTAGAGTGTGGTGTGCAGAGGAGGTGACTCGGTGTGACTGAGAGTTGTTAAGTCCCCTTTGTAGCCAGGTGTGAACACGTGACTTCTTTGCAGTAGCTAGGGAGACAGAAGCCTATAACCTCTGCTCAGCCTTCTGCTCCTTCTGGGCTTTGGCTCCATCATTTACGTCTTCCTTTTTTTTTTTTAATTTGTAAAAAATGAGTTTCTTCATCTTGAAATGCTTATCTAACACCATTTTAGCCCTCTCAGTGTGTGTGTGTGTGTTCATGTGCATATACGTGTGTATTCCTGATTATACACTTTTAATCTGCCATACCTATTTCCCCTTAAGGTGCTTTTGTTTGTTTTTGTGTTTTTTGAGATAGAGTTTCTCTGTGACACCCTGGCTATCCTGGAACTCTCTGTAGACCAGGCTGGCCTCGAACTCAGAGATCGCCTGCCTCTGCCTCATGAGTGCTGAGATTAAAGATGTGCACCACCACTGCCCCAGCTCCCTCAAGCTTTTAAGCAAAGTAACATAAATAGGATAGTTCTGAAAAGCATATTAATTTGTAAGTTTTAGAAATCTTGCCTTTAACCAAGAAAATAGGGAATAAAGATTAAAGTTTTGCTTCTGAAAGCGGGTGAATAGTGCTGCCAGGGAAGGGTCAAATCTATTAGAACCCTCCTGAGTGGAGCAAGTGGCCTGCATGACTTGTCTAAGTCAGGCAGGAAAGTTCTTCCTTTGAACTCCAATAATTCCCGGAAGTGCAGTAAAGAAGCTGGGTGGAAGAATGTGCTGATCCGCCGCCTTCCCCGGCTCCGCCTGCCCTGCTCCGTCTGCCACTTCCAGTAGTCAGAGCTGCCCGAGGTCGCCAGCACCTGCTGAAGCCCCTGTGCACTGTGGCGTTCGGTGCTGGGCCCAGTCCTTTCTACCCCTGTCCTTATGCTGCTTTCTGTCAGTTTTGTAAGTTCAGTGGCCAGTGAGGCCTGGTGCAGGCGTTGTTCTAAAAGTGGATGAAATACCCCGTGAGAATGTGCTTTCTGTGGATCACTATCCATTCTGCATTTTAAGTTCAGAACCAACTGGCATGGATGTTCCACTTATACTTGCTTTTTCTTCCTTTTCCAAATCTCTTTCTAGGAAATGACTCACTCGTGGCCCCCTCCTCTGACAGCCATACACACGCCCAGTACAGCCGAGCCATCCCGGTTTCCTTTCCCTACAAAGGTAATTAATTCCATAAATCACAACCGCCACAGTGTCCACAGCAGTGAGAGGTCGGGGTGCAGGACAGGACAGTGCCCCCAGCAGTGGGAGGTCAGGGTGCAGGACAGGACAGTGCCCACAGCAATGAGAGGTCGGGGTGCAGGACAGGACAGTGTCCACAGCAGTGGGAGGTCGGGGTGCAAGACAGGACAGTGCCCACAGCAGTGGGAGGTCGGGGTGCAGGACGGGACAGTGCCCACAGCAGTGAGAGGTCGGGGTGCAGGACAGGACAGTGCCCCCAGCAGTGGGAGGTCGGGGTGCAGGACAGGACAGTGCCCACAGCAGTGAGAGGTCGGGGTGCAGGACAGGACAGTGCCCACAGCAGTGGGAGGTCGGGGTGCAGGACGGGACAGTGCCCACAGCAGTGAGAGGTCGGGGTGCAGGACAGGACAGTGCCCACAGCAATGAGAGGTCGGGGTGCAGGACAGGACAGTGTCCACAGCAGTGGGAGGTCGGGGTGCAGGACAGGACAGTGCCCACAGCAATGAGAGGTCGGGGTGCAGGACAGGACAGTGTCCACAGCAGTGGGAGGTCGGGGTGCAGGACAGGACAGTGCCCACAGCAATGAGAGGTCGGGGTGCAGGACAGGACAGTGCCCACAGCAGTGAGAGGTTGGGGTGCAGGACAGGACAGTGCCCACAGCAGTGAGAGGTCGGGGTGCAGGACAGGACAGTGCCCCCAGCAGTCAGAAGTTGGGGTGCAGGGCAGAACAGTGCCCACAGCAGTGGGAGGTTGGGGTGCAGGACAGGACAGTGTCCACAGCAGTGGGAGGTCGGGGTGCAGGACAGGACAGTGTCCACAGCAGTGAGAGATCGGGGTGCAGGACAGGACAGTGCCCACAGCAGTGGGAGGTTGGGGTGCAGGACAGGACAGTGTCCACAGCAGTGGGAGGTCGGGGTGCAGGACAGGACAGTGTCCACAGCAGTGAGAGATCGGGGTGCAGGAGAGGACAGTGTCCACAGCAGCGAGAAGTTGGGGTGTTGCTCTGAACATGGTTGCCTGGAATCTTTGGAGACTGGGCTAAAGGCCACAGTTTAGCTTTTACAGAATGTTAGAAGGGTTTTAGATAACCTATTCTCTCTCCATCGCATATTGGTAAGAATATCTTAGAACTGTATAGGGCTTTATATCTTACAGCATTCAGAACTTCTCAGTCTGGTTTCTCATTTGAAGATTTTTCCTATAGAGATGGAAAAACAAAGAGGGGGAAGTTAGCTGAGGTAGATTGATGACTACAAGTTTGGGTTTCTAGACACATACATCTATATGAATGCACACGTGCAAACCTTGCATATATCTCATAGTTCGTAAATTTTCTTTAAAGTGAATGGCAAACACTAATCCTGGTTTCCATACAGACAAATGAATCTTGGACCTGTTTTTAAGTGGTTTATCAACACAGCCATCATTTTATTTTTGGCTTTTACTTTAAGAAATATGTATATATATTTTATGTGTATGGCTGTTTTGCCTGCATGCATGTCTGTGCACCACATGTATGCAGTGCCCACAGAGGCCAGAAGAGGGCAATGGTTCCTCTGGTACTGGTGTTTTAAATAGTTATGGGCTGTTGTGTTGGTGCTGGGAGTCACTCTGATCCTCTGGAAGAGCAGGAAGTGCTCCTAACCCTTCAGGCATCTCTCTGTTCTTGGAGTATGCTTTTAAATAACCTTCAGGATGTATTCCAAACACTTGGAGATCTGCATTGTCTGGCCTGGTATGCATGCATTCATATTTATAGGTAATTCCACAGTACTGTTTTCAGAAGTTGTACCAGTAAAACCCCAAATTTACTGTAGTTATTCTTCCCAGTTTATAAACAAGGTCCATCAATAATTTTGTTTGTTTGTTTTGTTTTTTTGAGACAGGGTTTCTCTGTGTGGTTTTGGTGCCTGTCCTGGATCTCACTTTGTAGACCAGGTTGGCCTGGAACTCACAGAGATCCACCTGGCTATGCCTCTCAAGTACTGGGATTAAAGGTGTGTGCCACTGCTGCCCGGCTTAATAATGGTTTTAAAATAAAACCTTAAACAATGCAATTATAATTGCTCAATACCGAAGGGAAGGTAAATTCTGGAAAGCCAGGAAACAAGGAAAGAGATTCCCTGAGGAATCAGATTGTTCCACATGTTTCTTGTCTATTCAGTATGAGGGATGATTGGCTGGAGGGCGGATGCTTGTACCGTGCAGTGAAATGTGAAATGTAGGAGGTGAGCACAGTGAGTGGTGTCCACACCATCATTTAGTCGTCCTCTCTGTATCTGAGTTTTATGAAGCTGTCGTTTTTCTAAGCCTGCAGAGTGTCACCTGTAGGCTGTAGGCCACACATCTCTAACGACCTTTTTCTTTCTAGGATCCTTTGCATGTCAGTACTGCAACCCAAAGCCAAAGTAAGTGAATATCTGGAACCGAGTATTGCATCGCAGAACAAAGTGTGCTTTTTTAAAAAAATAAAATAAATAAATGTTAGCAGATTTAATGATGATACATTTGTAACAAACTCCCACAGAGACTAGGAAAGAAAGCAAACACAGGGGGCCACTCTGTAGGTATAATTGGAAGTAATCCGTTTTCATGAAAATCAGAACAAATAGGAGTTAGTATTGCATGACTCATGGTGGTTGTTGTTGTTGCTGTTTTTTTTTTTTTTTTTTAATGTTTGAAACAGGGTTTCTCTGTGTAGCCCTTGCTATATCCTGTACTCAGAGGTCTGCCCACCCTGCTGGATTAAAGGCGTGCACCACCACACCTGCTGACACCTGGGTTATGTTGAGCACAGCTCACTGTGTTCCTCTGTCTGCAGCCAAGTGATTTTTTTTCTTGGTCCCTTTTTTAAGGGCTGTAAGTTCTGGAGAATCTGGGTAACTAACAGGACCCCACCTTCTCTTGAACAGTAACCACTCAGAGCGATGGACCATGTCCTGGTTACTTATTTGCCCGTCAAGCTTTACAAAGATCCCTAGAATATTTGCAGTCATTCAGTTGGTCAGAACAAGTGAAGGGGAAGAGACTCTGCCAGGTGACGGAGCCAGGCAGCAGATGACTTCGAAGGAATGAAGTGTTAGTGCTGTGTAGATGAGGCTTGGGGGAGGGGAGCTTACAAATGTCCACAGAGGCGATTGTGTTCAGTCACCCCCCCCCCTTCTTTTTCTTGATGATTTTTCTTGCTTGAATCTCTAAGGTATGAAGACAGGGAAGAGCCAGAATCAGAACAGAGCCCTCTAGACTAGGGTTGAGTGGATTACTGTCTGAGAGCATGTCTTTCCCGCAGCTATTTTTGTCAGTCAACCTTCATTGGGCCATAGTCTCAGCTTTTTACAAGCATATGCACGAACTTGACCTGCCCTGCTGTCTGATGCTGGTAGATAGACCAGGCTACTGTTCCTCTGTCCAGGGAGACAGAATGCCATCTTGTAAAGAAGTCAGAACCAAATGGCCTCTCCACACTGTGCCCTGATTATATTGCCACAGTACTGTGTAAAGGCGTGTAACTGAAATTGATGGCCATGTCAGGCCCCAACACTTGGGCAATCAGTCCGGGGACACATGACCGGTACAGTGGTAGTGAGTCCTGAAAGTGGAGTGCCAGCCCAGCTATGGTTGGGGTTTCTGTATGTCTCTTTTCTTTTTTGCTTTCTCTTCCCTTCTGTCTGCTTCTGTCTGCAGGCTTTTGTGCCTCCCGTGGGGGCATGGCCGTGTGGCTGCTAGTTCTAACTGTATAAAGACAGACCCTTTACCCCATCCCACTGTTGAATTGATGGAAGATGAAGCATCCCTTGGCCCGAGGAGCTTTGGGACTGTCAGACTCTGGTGGTGGTCTTGGGTGTTGCTACCTCAGGGTAATGCAAGGGCTGCTGCTTTTTCTCTTGGTATTTTGGGAACTTTATCCTAATGAGAATGTGGCCTTTGTGGCCTGAAAGAGAGACATGATTGTTAGGTGAGGAAGGGGAGAAGTATAGAGTCTTCTGTAAAAAAAGAATCTTCTATTGAAGAATGTCATGTGTTGGCTAATTTTATGGCAACTTGACAGAAGCTAGAGTCGTTTTGGAAGAGGGGACCGCAGTGAGAAACTGCCTCTGGCAGGTTGGCCCGTGGGCAAGCCCGTGGGGCGTTTACCTGATGACTAGCAGATGTGGGAGGGCCCAGCTCGCTGTGGGCATGTCGCCAGGGGCTGGTGGTCCTGAGTGCAGTAAGAAAGCAGGTTGAACAAGCCAGGAGGAGAGCAAGCCAGTAAGCAGCAGCGTTCTTCCATGGTCTCTGCTCCAGTTCATGCTGCTAAGGTTCCTGCCTTGAGTTCCTGCCCTGACTTCCCTGGGTGATGGACCACAAAGGTGTACAATGAAATTCTTTACTCTCCAAGTTGCCTTTGGTCCTGTTTTACCACGGCCATAGAGACACTAATTAAGACAGCAGTGCACTTCTCAAAGAATGCCAGCAACTGTCTGTCTGTCTGTCTGTCTATCTATCTATCTATCTATCTATCTATCTATCTATCTATCTATCTATCTATCTATCACAATGGGGTTTCTCTATGCATCCTTGGCTGTCCTGGAACTCACTCTGTAGACCAGACTGGCCTTGGAATTCCTACTTTTTTTAAAAACGCTGGGCATATTGGTCCTGGTATTTAGGTTTTGGAATCTGGAGAGAGGTGTAGGGCTTTTATCCGAGTGTCCTGCTGTTTATGTCTGAGCTCACACAACACGGTCGGTCGCCTAAGGTTTTCCAACTTGCAGCCCTGTCAGGACGACCCCTTGGGAGTCCTTGAGAATGCCTCTGCATCAGAGCTCTAGCTGTCTAGGCCGTAATTTGAAACTATGAGAGCTGCTGCCACCGTGAGGAGAGAGTGGGTAACTGCAAGAGTGAAAGAGTTGCCACCCCTGCCTAAAAGGTGCCCATGTTAACTTTCCACATTTCCACACTGGCTACTACCCATCTGGTGTATTACCTCACTTCCTGTTCCCTGTAGTGCTCACCAGGGAATGAGTTAGAGACCAATCTCTCTGAGGCACCCCTGTGCTGTGGCCCTGAACTTTCTGTCCTGGACCCAGAGTTCTGTGAACCTGGCTCTCACCCCTGCTGGTCACTGTACTCCACACACACGCATCCTCACCTGGGACAGACCTGGGGCCTGACTCCTCCACTTCTCCACATTCGCTCTCCTTCCTCCTGAAGGTCTTTGTGCACTCACGCTGGTAGGATCCCACAGATTCTCTGTGATTCAGCCATCTCATGCCTTCCATATAGTTTGCCTTCCTTGGACATTATAGAGTGGCTATTCAGGAATCGGGACAGTAAATTTACATAATTGCCATGTGTACTAACTGCACACTGCCCTAGGTTGTGAATGTTTGTGGATCTGTTTCATATCCCTCAGGCAACTGAAAGCACATTTAAAGACAGGGCCAGATGTTTTTACACATATTGGTTTCTACCAGGCAGTCTGTAAATAGGTGCTGAGTGAATGAATTAGGCTATGGGACATTGACTCCAGGAGGGCCAGGTAGGACAGAGGCCATGCAGTCACGGATGGACCTGGAAGTCAAGCCAGGTGGGATATGAGGACAGCATTGCCATAGAGCACCCATAGGAACCCAGTCAACTGTCATCAAGAACAGAAACTCTCTCCCACAGCTTGAAAGTTACCAGCAAGTTGGGGTGGCATTCTCAAGCCCTGTATTCAAAGTAGCTCTGGCTTATTAAGGATTTGTTGCTGACGTTTTGTTTCTGAACAAGCTCTCTCTCTCTCACAGGGCCGTAGGAGACTGCCGAGTGCAGTGGCCAGTGCAGAGTTTATACTGTGTCTGGGTACAGGGAGGAGGCACTGGAGAGGGAACTGAGAGTTTATGATTTCATAAATGTGTGTCCACGCTGCTCTGACTGTGTCTTCCTCCCCACAGAACAATATGATACGCCTTCCAAAACCCATCCCAGTTCCCAGCAAGGAACATCGTAAGTAGAAAAAGGAAAAACCTACCTTCATTTATTAAAATTTGATAATATGACATTGAAATTTCCCGTGTAAGTCCATTATGTAGGCTCCTCCCTCCCGTTTTCAGTTAATGGCATTCATAAAATACCGCTGCATTGTAGAGGGAGGAAATGGGCCACGGTTGCATCTGGATCAAGGTTTATGCACTACAGGAGAATGTGCTGAGGGGTTTTCTGGAAAGAAAGGTTTTGAGCTATTATTTATGCATTGACTGTGGAACTCAGAAGGCTTTGGCTTTTAAAATCAAACTTAAATAGTTTTAGCTTTGGGAGTTGAAAATGGGGGATGTGTGGAGTGAGATTTTCTGCCATTTCCTGGCCTATTTAATGGCAGGAGCTTGTCCTGCCACGCAGATGTTCTTATCCAGGCCAGGCACGGCTAAATGTATTCTGGGTTTTTGGAACACTTTAATCTTCACGTTATAGATTCGGCATTTTGACCCACTTTATTTTTTTGAAGTATCGAATTACTATCTCTTTACTGCCCCTCCTACCCCTCCTGAGGTAACTGCTAGGAACGGAGTGAGGCGTCTGCTCAGGTCCCCCCTCCATGTCTGAGTTGTCTGTCACTGGTAGACCGATGGTGCAGGTGCTCCTGGGGGCCAGAAGGGGGCGTTAGGTACCCTGGAACTGGAGTTACAGAGGGTTGTGAACCATGGAGTGCTGGGAATTGAACTCTGGTCTTCTGGAATAACAGCCAGTGTTCTTAACTGCTGAGCCATCTCTTCAGCCCGTTTCTTCTATTTCTTAGGCATAGTATATGTCCCTTGTGTTTTGGAGAATGGGCATTGCTAAAAAACGTCAGTTGAGTAGAAGAGTGTATTGCATGTCATTGTGCCTGAATGAGACAGGGTTAAGTCTTTGTTGTCAAAGACCAGCTCCTTGATAGAGTACTTTTCACTTCAACATAAAAATGAACAGCAATGTAAGAGTTTTGGTAGATAAACTTTCCTTGTCTGAAGGATGGTTTCTTTTGCTTGGTCAGAATATACTTTATTGTGGTCTTGGTGGATGAGGAGTTTTTGCTTATTAGTGTCCTCTACTTGAAAAAGACAAAACCCAGCAAACCTATGCCACTTGCATTTCCCCTTTTCTCTATTTTTTTTTTTTTTTTTCATTTTGGGGAATTTTGCTGGCAGTTTTGAATCACTGGCTTAGACTATGGGGAGAAAGGAGGAGCTGGGCCAGGGACCGATGCCGTTGAGAGTCTGGGAGACCGCCCCAGGTTACCAGGCTCTGCACTTGTTTGTGATGGTTGGATGTTGGGGATTAAGCCCTGGTCACCAAAGAAGGTCCTGGCCATTGTCTGTGGGGGCATCCAGGGGGGAGAACTGAAGCCCTGTGTTCACCCAGCGGTCAGTTCGGCAGGGAGCAGACCGGGCAGAGCAGTGGCACCAAGCACAGGAAGGAGCTGGGTCTCCAGTGTATGAGTGAAGCATGAAATACGAGTGGGCGCCTGAGAGTGAGTAGGAGGAAGTCACTTCCTCCTCTGTCCATCACATGCAGGCTAGTGTCCTAGGAACTGCATAGCAACCATTGAAATCAGAGAAACCAATGGACTTATATCCCGTGATGGAATTTTCTAAATAAAAACTGCTAATTGATATTTGAAAGGAGTACACGAGGTGCTCTTTAGGTACGCAGGGAGAGGGTACGAACAGGAGAACAGGAGCAGGAGCGGGCAGGTGAGGATGGGAGGGAAGGTGGAGGAAGTTAGGTAAGAAGGTTGTGTGAGGTTTCAGCCGTGGTGTGGGGTACTGGGTTCACACTCTTGACAAGTGCCAAAATGAAATGCACCCCATGAACAGAGGAATTCCTTTTATGTGCTTGCCTCTAGTGGAGAGTGAGTGAGTTTATGCCGTAGTGTTCTCACTCTTAGTGTGGCGGGCTCCTTAGAGCCAGTGATTAATTTGATCCAGTGACAACATCCAGGCTCCCGTGTAGTTAGGCTGCCTGAGTGGCGGCAGGTGGAGTGTTGGGCAATGGTCTATTGTCCCTTGCACTTCAGGATTGTTAATTGCAGGGTTGTTTATGCTCTGACTTAAAAAAAAAAGAAAAGAACAGTCTTGATCCTGGTAGATCTGGAAGTAGCTAACCCATTTAAAAGAAGAGTGGACATGGAAGGAGGAGAGGCCAGTGGGAGAGCCCAAACTGTTGACAGTCTGTGGTCACCCTTGTGTCTGTCCAGCCTTGGGTGGAGGAGCCGAGTGGTAGACTGAATGCCTAAGCGGAATGTCTGTTTGAACATGCTGCTTTTGTGTGCGTGTGTCTTAAGCTCTAGTTGCTTCTGAGCCTTTGGGCAAAGCCCTGCCGGTACTGATCACCAAGGTGTTAGCACTGCTGTTTGTCTCCAAGTTCAGGGAGGGTATGTTTGTCCAACGGTGCTTGCCTTAGCAGTCCACTTCCTTTCCAAGATCTGCAGTTTCAGGACAACACGCAGCACGTTTCCTCTTCCTAGGGGTAATTGTGTCTTCTGTACGGTTCCTTTCTGGGAGCCCGGGGCAGTTGGCAACCCCTGGGGGGGCGTGTGGCACCCATGCCTTAGGAGCTGTAGAGAGGTCCACACTCACTGCTGCTTGTGCTCTCTTCCCCCTCACTGATGAGCTGATGGAAAAGGTGCTTTCCTACCTTTGATTGTTCGTTGCCCCTGAAATCAACCCCTACTTGGAATAAAGGGGTAAAGACAGAAATCACTCTCCCCTTGAAGTCTGACTTACCTGGAAAATCCTGTTCGAAAGAGGGAAGGCCGGACTTCAGGGCTACCTGGCCTTGCAGGAGAAGGAAGGGGCGTTAATGACAGCCAGGGGAAGTCTGATATTTTTGTAAATAACCCTGAGTATACAAGTTGTCTCAATAGTGCTGGTTTTTAAATACCTTGGCGCAGATGGGAGGGCCAGTCCTCAGTGTACTATTTTAGTCACCATAGCAAGACTTAATGTCAGCTGAAGGGCTCTGGGCCTTCTGGCCTTGTTGATTGTGTTTTGTTTTTCTGTAGTCCAGGGGATTGAACCCTGGGCCTTGCTCGGACTCCTGGAAATTTACATCCCCAATCCCCAAATGTCCTTAAGAATGAGGTCTGATGACACAGTTTGCTTGTCCCAGTTAACTTAAATCGTATTAAGAAAATTAATTTTTTTCTCTTGCCATTTTATAAAAAGTTAACGTCTACTGTTGGATGATGTTTTGCTTGGATGCTCACGGGCAGCTCTAACTGAAAGTGTCATTGGTGGATAAGTGTCATCAGAAGTAAATTGTCGAAACTGTCAGGCGGGAGTTTGATGTTACGAGGTGTTGAGGTGTCACCCTCTCCTTCAGGAACGCAGGAGCACACACCCGTGCTGTCGTTCATACATCGACTGCTGCTCTCTTGGCCTAGGTTTTACAGACAGGAGCTGGACTGGATCTGGGAGATTTCAGTTCTCATTTAGAGGGAACAAAGTTCTTGCCCAAGTGTGATTCGTCTCATCCTCCGTGTTCAGGGACCAGTCCCCCCCCCAGATACCGCACAAACCTGAATTGCTTACGGAACAACAGGAGACATGAGCAACACTCCTCTCTTGTGCCCAAGCTCCACTTTCTGCAACTGGAGAGTTTCCTTCTGCTCTTGAAAAATCATAACAGCACTCATGAATTCCCCTGTTAGCAAGATTTGATTATGATTTTTAAGTAAACTATAGGTGTTATACATCTCTCTTATTAAAAACTTGAAATGACTTCTCACTGCCTACCCCTGGTAGCATACCGATGTGAATGCTGAGTCACCCACATCTGGTGTCGTAAACTGTTCTCTGGAAGGTTTTGTGGTTGCTCTTGGCTGGATCAGCAGACACTGCCAGTGTACTTCTGTCTGCTGATTCTCATCTGAGTTAGGTCTTTGCTTTTGGTTTTTTGAGAAGTCTCATGTAGTCCAGACTGGCCTGGAATTTGAACTTGTTCTTCTCTGTACTTGAGCTTAAATTGTTGATCCTCCTGCCCCAACCTTCCCACCTCTTAAGTGCTAGGACTTCAGGCATGTGCCACTATGGCGGCGGCTTCTTCTTCTTCTTCTTCTTCTTCTTCTTCTTCTTCTTCTTCTTCTTCTTCTTCTTCTTCTTCTTCTTCTTCTTCTTCTTCCTCTTCCTCTTCCTTTTTCTTTCTCTTCTTCTCCTCCTCCTTGTAACATTTGTCTGTCTGTCTGTCTGCCTACTCACCTACCACCTGCTGTTCCCATGAACGGTGATGATGTGGAGGCCAGAAGACAACTTGTAGGAGTCAGTTCCCTGTTCTACCATGTGGGACCCGGGGTCCAACTCCAGTCAACCTGCTTGGCAAGCAGCCGCCTTTACTCTCTGAACCATTTCACTGGCCCATGACATTTTATTTGTTATCTGTTTGGTTTTAGACCAGGTTGGACTTGAACTCACATCCTCCTGCCTCTGCCTCCTGAGCATTGGGATTAAAGGTGGGCACCACCACACCAGGCCTGGCCAGCTTTTTAATTCTTTATTATCTCACAGATTTAGACTATAGGAAACATATATTGCACCAGTAGCTTACATAAGGCATAGAAATTATTTAATTATTTGTTTTTATTTTGTAGGGCATACTCAGATCTGTCTTCATGCAGTATTCCTTCACCGAGCACTGTCTCCACTTTTAGAATCTTGAATAGCAGATAATGTTTTACTGTTGACTTCTCATCCTATCTAACCTCCAGAAGGAGAAGTTTATAGACTTTCCATGGTCCCTGCTATTTTCAGATGAGCTCAGAACTTCCTGTGTGTGCCTTTACTGACTTCAGGAGGATATATCCATAGAAGCTAGGTGTTATTCCATAGCAAGGGGGAAACATGAATGGGACTTTTAATTCTCTGCTGTGGGTGGGAGTGTGGTGGGGTTGCAAGATCATTTGTGGTACAGAAAATTAAGAAAGAGTATTTTTATACAAGATAACCCAGTAGAGTAGCTCAGGGTCAAGGTTAGCTCCTGCAGTGTTGTTGTCCGTGGTTAATACTGAGTGCACTTTGCTCCCGTGGCCAGGCTCCCCCCTCCCTGTTGTGTTATATCTTGGGAAGTTTTCCTCCAAATATAATACCTTTTGCTGGGTCCCCTAGCCAGGCCAGCCTAGCAGCAAACCTGTTGAGTAACTTTTCTTTGCATACCATTCCGATGGCCAACTGCCAAGTCCCATGACTGAAGGCTGTGTTTTCTAGACACAGTAAAATAAGAATTTAGTTTCTACTTGATAAACATTGAGTGAGATCTTCAACTTACAAGTATCTAAAATTTTTCTCTTTTCTTTTTTCCTTCTCCTCCTTTTTTATATTGTTTGTGTTTTGAGACAGGTGTTCTATGTGTAGCTCTAACTGTTCTGAAACCGTAGACCAGGCTAGCCTAGATTGCACTCCGAGATCAGTCTGCCTCTGCCTCCTGAGTGCTCGCATTAGAGGTGTGAGTCAGCACGCCCAGCTTCAGTTTTCAGTTTTTAAAAAACTTACAGAGGCGGCAGGGTTTTAGCACATGTGCTGGTGAAATGGTCCCCTGGTGGAATTTGCACACCTCATGCACATGGTCGTTTGTGAAAAGCCCGGCTCTACAGTTTATCTCATTGGAAAATATAGTGATTTTTGTTTAAACCAGGGTTTCCTGAAGGAACCATGCCTTCCTACTTCATGGTGCCTCAGTAAGAAGTGCTGTTCAAATTACCGAGGAGGTATTTTGAGAGCTGCCAAATGATTTTTAGTTTGTTTTCTGGGACATAAATAATACACAAACAGATTTTTTTTTCCATTTTACTTCTAACTTTAATAGCATGCTTGTAAAATTGGAGAGAAGTGTGAGAGAATGATTAGTGATTGATGCCTTTGATATTTGAGGATCTCTGGAAAAAGCATGAGAATGGGAAGGCACGGGCCCAAATGAGAAAACATGTACCACTAAGAAACATTTTATTTTAATATGAAAATTTTGCCATAAGCCTGAGTGCTTAGCAATGTGTAGCAATATAAATGTTAGGAAATGGGCTGACTTTATTTTTCCCTACCAGAATTAGTATCTGTAAGTTTAAAATATTTTCTTACCAACAACAGGGCCATTTGTATTACTAATTAAATCAACAGAACATCGATCATTGATTTGTATCAAAGTAGACAAAAGAGAGTGATTTTTTTTTTTTTTGGCCTGTGGAAAAGTGTTCTATATTAGTAATGTCCAGCCATCTTGAAGTTTTGTGTGCTTAGCTCTGTTTAAATACTTTACACACCCATTCAGCATCAGCACGTGGATGGATAATCATTATTATTGCTTCTCTTAGAGCCCGTGGAAGAAAGTTGTTGAAGTGAATGTGCTGTGTGTATGTGTTCTCTGTCTTCTGTTTGTGTGGACACTCTCACTGAAGGAGCTGAGGGCACAGTCTTAGGGTGCATTAGAAATGGCTGCCAGAAGGTCCGTAGGGTTCAAACCAGGAGAAAGTTTGGTTTTTGACATGGTAGGAGCTTGGCTGATCTGCTTCCAGTGTTAAAATGGTAAAGCTTGAGTTGCTAGAAAATTGAGCTAAGCAAACCTCCCGCTTATTCCGGCTGTCTCCCTCTTTGGTGTCTTTAGGCACGTGTTCTATCTAAATGCCCCCGAAATTATTAGCTCTCTCAGATGCCCCACTGCCTGTCTTTTTTTCCAGCATGCTCGAGGATGACCTGCAGCTCAGCGACAGTGAAGAGAGCGACATTGAACAGGTGAGTGTTGGACTCTGAGATGGAGAATCCTCTAAGTCCACCGAAGGTGCCCGCCGCTTGTCCTAACCTGTGTTTCTGTTCTTTCTTGGAACTTCTCGCCATTACCATTACCACGAACGTCCAGGCTGCAGAGAAGCTTCCGTCCCCATCTGCACCTCCAAGGTACTGTCTGCATTTCTCCCCATCGACCCCTCGCCACACACCCCTAACCCGGATGAGAATAAAGACTTCCTCAGTATCTTTGTAGCTTCACGAAAGGGATGGTACGGGGTCGCAGTTGAAGAAAAGTCTGATTATATTTTAAACCTGAGTCAGCTGTGGGAGGTCATTAGCCCTGTAAAGGTGGAAGAGGCCCTGCAACCACCCACAGCGAGGTTTTGATGTTAAAATTCTTTGAGCTCAGGGGTTAGAGTTGGTAAAGTGCTCACCTTCCGAGCACCAGGACTTGATTCAGCACCTGCGTAAGAGTCAGGTGTGGAAACAGGCAGGTTCCCTGGAGTCCATGAGAGACCCTGTCTCAAAACTGGAAATTGATTGAAGAGGACACTTCATATTGACCTGGCCTCCATAAACACATGTATTCACTAGTACACATGTGCATGTTCACCCTCATGCTTACACACTTGCCCCTGTACACATGTGCATGTTCACTCTCATGCTTACACACTCGCCCCTGTACACATGCGCATGTTCACCCTCATGCTTACACACTCGCCTCTGTACACATGTGCATGTTCACCCTCATGCTTACACACTTGCCTCTGTACACATGTGCATGTTTACCCTCATGCTTACACACTCGCCGCTGTACACATGTGCATGTTCACCCTTATGCTTACACACTTGCCCCCCACCCACCGATTGAGTCAGGTATGACGATGCACACCTGTAATCCTTGTGGTAAGCTGAGGCAATCAGATGGAAAGTTTGAGGCCAGACAGAGGATAGAGCGAGACTTTCAACACTATTTTAAAGATAAGCTTTAAACACAGTTTATCCTTGGCGTTGTGTGCCCAGTGTTTGAGAAGTTAGAGGAAGGAACCCATGTATTTGTGAAACTGATGGATAACTGTGTTTTCAAAATCAGTCATATTGGATTCTTCCGGAGCTTGTTCCCAGGGTTTCTCTCTCTTTTCTTAGTTTCAGCTGCTTTAAAATGGGACTCCCAGGACATTTAATGTGAGGGGAGCTGCGTTACTTTCACCTTCCAATGAGTTAGCCCTGTTTTAGAAAAGGAATGCTCTGTGTTTGGGAAATGGAAACTAATTTTTGAACTAATTTTACAGTATTTTCCTCCTGGTACTAAATATAGCAATTTAAAGTGAAAACTGCCTGTCCCACATAGACAAAGACTTACAAGGTGCCCAGTCATTTAGAGAGATGGTCACCGAAAAGAACCTGAGTGTCAGTAGTGATGATGTGGTTAGTAATTGTAAAGGAAGCATTAATTACACAGTTCACGGATTTGTACACCCAGCCTGTTTATTTATATCCAGTCTTGTTAAAATTCCAAGTGGCTCATGTTGACTCATAAACTATGACAAACTGGTCTATTGCAAAAGCTAAGGAAAAGGCCACAGGGAAGCCAGAGGGCAGGGGACAGCTAGGAGCAAGAGCTCCCTTCCCAGTGGGTCCTGCCGCCGCTGTCACCGACTCAGCGCTGACGGAGTCCCATGAGGAGCGGACGTCCCTGGACGATGTTCGCTCTAAAATGAACCCAGCCAGCGATTCTTATTACATTATTTATTATTCATTACTTAATAAGAGTTTGTTTTGAGAATATTGTAGGGAGGTTCGGAAACATTGAAGGCTAGGGTTAAAGATGTCTGCTTTAGTAATAACATCTAGGGCAGCTAAGACTGCATATGGTTTGAAACTATATGTCTAGCCTCGATCCATATGTTTTCTCATTGACCTACAGTTAATGGCCGACTTGTAAAACTTGGAGTTGTTCATGCCCAGCTAGTCACAAAGAATGGCCCATTGTCTGACTCCACCAGGAAGTGACTGGGCCACTTCTGAGCTCACCCTGCCAAGGAACTCTGTATTCAGTGGTGTCTGGTTGCTGTGTAGTTAGGCCCTATGTAGAGAATACAGCGAGTTTCACACACTAGCTTTTCCTTAACACTTTTTCTTTTGAGTTGTATATAGTAGGAGTCAGTAACCTTCATGAGCCACATAGTAAATATTTTAGCCTTTGTGGGACATGTAACTCTCTGTAACTGCTTAGCTCTACTATCAAAGCACCAAAGCCACCACAGATGGCCTCCAAGACAACAGTTGCAGGCGTGTTCTAATAAAACTTCATTTAGAAAACACGGCAGGCTGTCCAGGCCCAGGTTTACCAGCCCTTGGTTAGTCACCTGGCACAGGGTTTGTTTATATCGTCTACCAGATGGTAGGCCAGTGTTGGTGCCGCTCCTCTTGTGCCTGCCATCATCTGATGACTGCCCCTGGCCACGGGATGATGAGCCAGCGTGGATGCTTTTACTTTCCAGGAGCAGATGGCTGGGCAGAGGCAATGGGGGATGCTTTCCTGCGTGCATGCTCCTCTGACTGTACCTCCACTTGCTTTGCAGCGCCCCACAGACGCTTCCGGAACCAGTGGTGTCGGCACATTCCAGTAGTGCAGAGTCAGAGAGCAGTGCGTCGGACAGCTCCTCGGACTCAGAGAGTGAGAGCAGTTCCAGTGACAGCGAGGAGAATGACGACGAGCCCCTAGAAGCCCCGGCTCCCGAGGTATTGTGGCCCTTTCAGAAGGCAGTCCAAGATGGCAGTGTGCTGGCTCTTGGGTGGAAGTCAGAGGCGCACACTGCCCCTGGCACTGCAAAGTCTCGACTTTGGGCGATGCTTTCCCACTGTATGGAGCCACGTGCTTCTGTTTGCTGCTCCCCAAGAGCTCGGCCGTGGAGACACACGGACAGGCAGGACAGGTTCCTCTGCAGCTGCTGAGCGTCGCTTCCTAAGAGTATTTGCGCTCCATCTTTTCTTTTGAGAAGGAAAACTGTTTAAAGTAGGTTACTGTATTAGTGTCAATGAAAGGTCTTTGAAAATTCTGTGAGTTAAAGGAAAAGAAAGAAATGAGCTAGAAGCAAGCCACTTACTGTTTGTAAGTAAATAAGAGAAAGTGAGTGTTAGACAGAGTCCCTATCAGTTGACAAAAGGGTTCTTTCTGTTCCCTGTCTCCTGCGTTACAAGTCAAGTGTGTTCATTTTGTTCAAATTGTACCATAATTAACCATCAGGACAAAAGACATTCCATAAAGACTTCTCAGCAGTTGCCAACTGCTTATTAGTTGATATCTATTAGGCAAAGTTCTCAAATTGCAAAATTGTTCATTACAGACTCTAGATTTGTAATTTGCAGGGGATGAGTGGAAGGTAAATTCCTAGGCTCAGAATGAGCAATTCTCCTGGGGACAGCCCTGTATAATTGGACCACTAACACAAAAGTTTATCCACACCGGTCAGTTAACACTTCTCTCTGTCCTGGTTTCTATCCAGCCTGAGCCTCCGACAACAAACAAGTGGCAGCTGGACAACTGGTTGACCAAGGTCAGCCAGCCCTCAGTGCCCCTCGACGGTCGGGGAAACACAGAGTCTCCACGCTGGCGCCAGGAGAGTAAGGATGGGGACCGCAGCTCTGACCAGCAGCACCCGGAGTCCAAAGACCCTCCCCCCAAGAGTTCCAGCAAAGCTCTCCGAGGGGCCCCTGAGGGGCCCCAGCCTGGGAAGAGGAACTGCCAGAAATCCCCTGCTCAGCAGGAGCCCCCACCCCGGCAAACTATCGGAGCCAAACAGCCCAGAAAACCGGCCAAGGGCTCTAGCCAGGCAGAGCCCCAGGCCAACTTGCAGGGGGAGAGTGAACCTGGACCCTTTCCCTATGGCTCAAAAGAGCAGACTTCCAAAGACAAACCCAAGGTGAAGACGAAAGGCAGGCCTCGTGCTGTGGGCAATAGGGAGCCTAAGCCTGAAGCTCCTGTGCCCAAGCCCCAGGCAGCCGTGCCCACCCCCAACGAGAAGAGGAAGCACAAGAGTTCCCCGGCCCCCTCCAAGGCACTCTCAGGCCCTCAGCCTCCAAAGGACAATGCTGGGGACAGGAACCCTGAGCACTTTGCTCTTGTCTCCTTGTCTCAGAGCCAGGGTCCACCCCACAGTGGCAGGGGCGGCAGTGGCATCAGGACTAGTGGCTGCCGACAGGCTGTGATTGTCCAGGAGGACGGCCGGAAAGACAGACTCCTGCTACCCTTGGGAGACACCAAGCTGCTCTCACCACTCAGGGACACTCCACCACCGACGAGCTTGGTGGTGAAGATAACCCTCGACCTTCTCAGTCGGATTCCCCAGCCCCTGGGGAAGGGCGGTCGCCCTCGGAAAGCGGAAGACAAGCAGCTGGCAGCAGCCAAGAAGCAGGACTCCGAGAAGAGGAGCTGCAACAGCTCCAGCCGAGGGAGCAAGAAGAGAAAGGTGAGTACCCTGACGTGCCTGGTGGTGTGTGCATGGTGGCAGAGTGACCAGGAAGAGAAAGGTGAGTACCGCGACGTGCCTGGCCGTGTGTGCATGGTGGCAGAGTGACCAGGAAGAGAAAGGTGAGCACCCCGACGTGCCTGGCCGTGTGTGCATGGCCAGGGATCTCTGAGTTGTCTAGCAGAGGCTGAAGCCTTTGCCCTGCCAGCGGCACTTGACTGCCCCTCCGGGTACTGTTGGCCTGCACCCTCTTCCCGTTCTGCAGGCAGTCACGTGTGTTGGGGCCCCGAGTCACTGAAGAAGTGCGCTTTCTCCACACCCTGCCGCACTTAAGGGCACATTTTTATGCATGCAGAGATCACTGTTCACTCTCTGGCATATGATGTTTTGTCCTGGAAATTAAGGTCTTCCGTGAATTGGAATGATAATTAGTATTCTGAATTTTTTTAAAGAATTGCTCTAACTCATGGCCCTTGCTTCGTAACTAGAACTATTAAAGCAGTAATATGGGTAAGAGATCTTGAGGGAAGCGAACTGGTAGGGTGAGCTGCAGACTGCTGGGCACCTGCTGTTTAGTACGAGTTTTCATGGGAAACCTGCCTCATTTGAGACTTTCTATTACTTAGGCATGCTGCTGGTTTGGGCAGTGTCGTCTTTATTCTAAACTGTTGAGCTCTGGCTCTCCTTTTTTGATTCTTGGTGATGAGGTAAGACTAGGGAGTGTTTCCCCAGGGGCACTCTTACTACCTGCCCAGATCTTGACACAAACGCACAAAAAGACTAACCGCCATGCTGACGGGATGAGATTTAGCACTCTTGAGTACATGACAAATGTCTTACTCAGCAGTGGAACATGAGCTGAAAATAACGGGAAGGGCCGTGAAGCTTGCTGTCGTGCCTGAGGCCCAGCTGATTTATCCACCTGTTAAAAGATACGGCATGGCTCTAGCGAACTGGAAAGGGCGACTCCTCTCCAGAACCCGGTTGTCGGAGACGCCAGAGTCTGCGTGACCAGCACGTGCACTGAGGGCAACGCCTTTGGGGTGACTCAAGTGCTTGCTGAAGATGCTGTTTGAGCTAGAAGAGCCAGGAAGGCTTTGGGGAGGGGGTGTAGAGGTGAGACAGTCTGTGTAGCCCTGGCTGTCCAGGAACATGTCGTGTAGAGCAGGCAGACCTCAGACTCACAGAAATCACCGGCCTCTTCCTGGCTCCCAATGAAAGTTCTGCACCACCTAGCCAGAAAGATTTAAAGGCTTTCAGAATGAGATGTGGAGTGTGTGTGTGTGTGTGTGTGTGTGTGTGTGTGTGTGTGTGTCTGTCTGTCTGTCTGTCTGTCTGTGACAAAAAAAAGTTATCAAGGAATCCGTGGTGGTTCTGTTTAGGGAAGAGTGTTCCTGCATCTGCCATCTCTGAGCATGTGTCAAGGACACACAGTTTACCTGCTGCTGCTAGCGGTCTCCCGTCACATCCCCTCTTAGCTGCCTTGGTTTATCTTCTATAGGGTCACTAATGGTCTGCCTTTCTGCTTTCCACTGCAGTGGAGTATTATGTCTTGTGCTGCCTTGTTAGATAGAGCCGTCAGGGATCCCAGCTGTCCGTGGGGTCTAGGCCAGCTCCTCCCTCTCGTCTCTAAGAACAGTGCCTGCCCTTTGGAAGGTGACCCTGCAGGCATGGCTCAGGGAAAGCTCATTTAGGTTAGGCCCAGGGAAGCATTTTGTTCAGCGTATGGAGCAGTTATGATTTCCTCATCTTAATTGAGCACAATTGAGTTCACTTAATTGAGTTCTTTAAAGTGTCTGGTCCAAAAGAAACTGAGAACAAATGCTAACTGTGGTGCCTGTCAGCATACCAAAGTGTAGGCTGGCCTCCAGGCTCCCTCAGCATCGCAGCAAATACTTGTTACAGAGTCCGTGCTGGCATCCTGGCTCCTCACAGATCTATCTTGCCCACCACCCCAAACTTCTCCAGCTCATGGGCTTCCCAGTCCCACTTCTGAGTCTATACAACCTGCCTTTGGGCCATATACTCTAATGGCTCCTGGTCCCGTCCTCCTCTTGCCCACTCTCCTTTTTCCTCTCTGTCTTCCCCTCCTCCTTCACCCCCCCCCCCCCCATGTCCTGGTTCAGTCTGCTGCTTTCTCTCCCTGCTCTGGACTCTTCCAGATGCCTCTGGCTGTTCTCTCCCTCTACAATAAAAACCTTCCCCTCAACCAACCATACCTAGGAGCAGCCATGTCCTCACTTTATACACAAAGCTCTGGCAAGCACTGAGGGATTTGGCTTGGGAGTCTGACTGTGAGGCAGGTCAAGATGGGACCCATTGGTTTAAATCCTGGCTGTAATAAAGCCTGACCACATTATAGTCACCTGGGGACGGCAGGGGGCCCTCCCACTCTGGTGTTTTTGAAATTCCTAGGCAATCCTGATGCTCCCAGGGCTGGAAGCAGTGGAGCGCAACATTGAGCTCACGGAAGCTGATGCCTGGGTAGAGAAATTGTTCGGGTGTGCTGTGAGTGTGGCTAGCATGGACAAGCCGCCAGGAATTCTTGCCTGAAGTGTGTCATTAGTTAGCAACTTGACTGAGAAGATTTCAGATAGGTATGAATAAAAAACCAGCTGCTGTGTTTACCCCTCAGAGTCACATGTCCTTCCGTGTGGGAGGTATTACGTATGTCATTCATTCTGTGCGTCAGCACCATGACGGCCATTCAGGCCTCCCTGGCTCCAGCGGGTCACCTGGTATGCAAACCTGGGAACCTGGCTCTGGGCCAGAGGTTATACTGACTTCTTTTTAACTTGAGACTATTCCCAGATTTAGGTTGTGAAGGCCTTCATTTTCAGTGTGAGCATTAGAAAAGGTTTTCTCAACATGTAGTCAGGGACATTTAAGAGTGTTCCAAATTTTTTCACATTTGTGTGGTTTATTTAAAGGCCCCTCAGAACTTCTCCTTCTCCTGTTATGAAATTTAGTAAAAATTCTCAGAGGATTCACCAAGTCTTTAAAGGCTTTTTAACCTTAATACTCATGAATATCAGAGACCACATGGTAGGGTGGGCATGGAGCTCAGCGTTTGAACACTTCCCTAGCATTTGGCCCTGGATTCAATCCCCTGTCATGCAAACTATAAACCAGGCAAGAAGAAAGACTCGGTGGTGTTAATAGCTGTGATGAAGCCATCAGATGTGGCCCCTGAGGGAACTGGGTTAGGAAGAGTTTATGAGGCACAGTGGAGAAACTTAGGTAAATACACTTGAACTGAATACTCCTCACTCAAACTATTGACTGCAGTTTGGAAGTTCAAGTACTAACATCCACTTTCTTTTCTTAAGCTAGGATTATGCCTCTCTGATTTGAAAACAAAACAAAAAACACCGAAGTTGGAAGCATTCTAAGAAACTCTAGCAGACATTGAGCTCCACATGGAGCCCTACTATGTGCTCACTTCTTCTGTAGATGATAGTTCATTTCATCCATTCACCTGAAGATTGCCCCTCAAATAAATGGGCACTATTTTGATCTTGTTGTGTTGTTCTCACCATGTAGCCCAGGCTGGCCTGGAAGCCAGGATCCTGCTTCAGCTTCCCAAGTGTTGGGATTACAGTTGTATGCTTATTAAATAAGTAGGTGGTCTTTCTTACTGATCATTTCAACAAATAATGGAATGAAGGAGTTCACTGAAGCCTTGCTCTTGACACAATTGTTTCATTAACTAAAAAACCATCACCTTTGGTGGGGGGATCAGTGTATTTATATACTCCTTTATTTATGTTGACAGAGGAAGGGATGTCATTGTGTTTGATAGGAAAAGGTACGTTTCTTCTGCTTGGGACAGTTACTTCTGCCTTTGACTTCCATCCAAAGTCCAACTGTCCTTTCTTACCCTCATCCCCCCCAGATTAGTAACCTCAAGTTTTGTCCTTACCAGTCAAGGGGTGTGACATCTGATGCCTTAGAATTTATTAAAGTCTTTTAGGTTTCCTTTCTTGCTGCCTGGTTGTTGGCTGGAGAGCATGGCAGCCATGTGACAGCAAAGGCTGGCCTATGTCATCAGTACCTGTGTCATCTGCCTCACCAGGAAGAGGTGAAACTGGTCTATTTTCCTCTCCTGTAGTGCTTTCTTCTTGAGATCCAGAGAGGCTCAGAATCTCATGGCTGCTCAGTAGACGCATGTTAGCTGTTCCTGTCCACTGGTCCGTCCTCTCCCTCGCTCATTCTTCTGTGTACACATATGTCCTGAGGAGATTCTTGAGAGAGGCACAACAGTGTTCAAGATCAAAATTCTGACTCTGGTGACTGCACTCACTAGGGCGGTTACAGCGTTCCTCTGGCTTCTCACCTCCGTTGGTCAATGTTGCGGGCCCGCTCCCCACCCATGCTCACCCCTTCTCCAGGGTCTTAGGTTCCTCCTTAGACCCTCTTGTCTCCACCATCATAGCCAAGCTCCCAGGATCCTTCCACGAGTCAGAACCTGTGGCCCCAAGTGACTGTCAGTTTTAGAAAACGCTGCCTCTGTTTTCCTTTGAACTACAAGGCACCCTCATGACGAGCCTGTGCAAGCCAGGTGCCAGGCCACTGCCCACCCTGGAGGGAGGGCCTGCACAGCCCTAGCTCTTCTTCCTGCTCTTTTGTCCCGTGCTGAAGGTGGAGCAGCACTTGGAACATCACCTAAAGGCTGCCCGACCCCACAACCACAGGCTGAGAAAAGCCAACAGTGCATTGGGTTTGGTGAGCAGCTGTCGGCCCCTCTGTGGAGAGCGCAGGCACCACTGGAAGCCTGTCCTCCCAGAAAAGGAATTCCAGACCCTTGACAACAAGAAAAAGAGAGATGTCCTTTTTCTTTCCTAAAGAATACAGAGTCGTCACCCAGAACAAGCTAAAGACCCCATGCCTCCTATGACTTAGTACGTCTTGCTTGTGGAATTCAGTTCTCAGTCCTCAGCACCCGCTACTGTGTGCCCTCACTTTGGGGACCCTCTCTCTGGTCTAGCCTCTCCAGGTTCCCATGCATCCCAGGGTGGCTGCTGTGCCCCTCAGCTGCCATTCTTGGTTTACAGTCCAGCTGACAAACACCACTGCCACTCTGGACAAGTCTGGGCCTTTCCAGACCGGAGGCAACGTCCATGCCCCCACGGGGGCACACACTGGGGCCTCTTGATTCTTTGGTTCCATGGCGGCCTTTCTCTTAGGCATTGGGTACCATGCTTCTGAGGTCTGAAGTACTAAGAGAAAGCTAATGATTCTGGTGAGATGTAAATGCTAGCATTTTCAGATGCCTGCCTTCGAGTCGATGTTGGATTTCCCGTGAGCCAGCTCCTCCTGTGTCTCTGATTGGCACAGGCTCCAGCTCCAGTCAGCTGGTGAAGAACACCTTCTTCTGAAACTTACTTGCCAGGAACGTGTGTGGTTTATTGTGCTAGCAAGCATACCCCAGGCAACAAGAAGATAACAAACAGAAACAGATCCCAATTCCCTCCTGGACTCTGGTGTGGACAGTATGTGTTTAGCCTTCTCTCTGCGTATGTCATGACCTGCCTGGACATACCTTCCACTTAGAACGTGCTGCAGCATTTCGTGTGTGAGTTCATCTCCTCTTAGTTCTCTCTAGACGGGGATGTGTCCCTTGGTTGGAGTGCTTGTCAGGGTATCTGCAGCCTCTGCAGCTCTGGGCCTCAGGTGGCAGGGTGCTAGGTACAGAAACCGGGGCAGAAACCCTGTTCCAGCGTCTCATTCATTCATCTTTGCCTCTCCACCAAGAGATGTGATGGGTGCTCCCCTCGTTCTGTGCAGAGCCAGCCCCGTCACAGTGATGCTGAAGTCTTCTTGTGCACACAGGCACCTCTCACATCTAAATTTCACTGCAAGAGTCTGCCGCTGGCCTGTGCTCACAGTGGTGTAGACTGGAGCATTTTAGTCATGGCGTTAGGCCTTTCTTACCTCATACCCCAGATTTCGTTATTAGGTCCATCAGGATGCATTTCCCAGTCTTCCATAACAGTGGTTATAATTCTGTGTATGTATGTGCTTAGTGGTATGTATATGTATGTAGGTGGGAATGGTGTGTGTATGTGTGTGTGTGTGTGTGTGGTGTACATACATTTATATACAGATGTGTACATCTGTGCAGAGGCCAGAAGAGGGTGTTGAATATCCTGCTGTATCACTTTCCTGCCGTATTTCCAAGACAAGGTCTATCACTGAAATCATCAATTCTGGCAGCCGTCCAGCCTCAGCAGTCCTCCTGCCTCCTCCCCTCCTCACAACATTAGGATTATATGGGGCAGGCGCACAATCATGCCTGGCTTTTTGTGTGGGTTCTAGGGATTTGTTTAAACTGATGTCCTCATGCATGTACAAGTAAGCTCTTACACACTGAGCCGACTCTCCAGCCACAGCTGATTTGTCTTTGTTTTTTCGAGACAGGGTTTCTCTATGTAGCCCTGGCTGTCCTGAAAGAAACGCTCTCTGTGTAGATTGGGCTGGCCTCGAACTCACAGAGATCCTCTTGCTGCTGCCTCCCGAGTGCTGGGATGAAAGGCGTGTGCCACTACCGCCCGGCTGCAACAACTGACTTGTCTTTATTCTCTCCGCTTTGGGATGATCATCCCTTCTCTATGTTGGTTAATGAGAAGTTAAAGCCCCAGTAAAACTAGGAAGGAGATAGAAGACGCGCTCTTGCGGGGTGGGGTGGGGAATAAGAGGACATATATGATGTGAAAATGAGGGGTAGCAGGGGAGGGAGGGACCAGCATGGTCCCCTTTGACGGGGAGATGGAAGAAGAGGAGACAAGCACCAACAGCATCTATGAAACGCCAAGTGAGGGGAAGAAATCGGTGTAGAGCCCAGCGTATGGGTCATCTTTAGCAAACTGGGTCAGTGCCGCCCAGTAAGATGGGAGTGTACCACACAGGTGACTATTTTTTCATTAGCCACCCTGAAGTGTAAACCAGGAAAAGGAAGCTAGTGACGATTTTAATAACTTTACCTAGTGTATCAAAAATCTTGTATCCTTTTACTCAGTATTGAAACTATTCCATTCCATTCATTTTCGACCAAATTTGAATATTTTTCTCAGTCTGGGCTCAGTCAGGTTCACATCACAGCCTGCAGTCATGGCTGCTTTGAGCAGGCAGAAGGGAGAGGGTAAGCGCCTCCCCTTGGTTGGTATTCCGTTGTACCTGCGTTTTCCATTCTGAACACTCTCCCCTGTGCACACCGCACTACTAAGAACAAGTATCTCTGTGTGCCTCCCTGTGTGCCTCCCTGGGCAAGTCCATTCCACAACAAACCGTCCGCAGGGGAGCAGAAGTATTCTGCTGTGGGACTAGACGGAAGCACACACTGGGCCCAAGTGTCTGCAAGAGGCCAGGGGGAGGGAGAGACCAGGCCGCTTAGTGTCCGGGCATCCCATGGCCCTGTGCATGTTAATCTGTTCTTACTTATTAGAGAGATTTGGGAATGAGGATGCTGAAGTGGTGAGAACTGGGGTCTCCACGCCAGCTACTGTGATGAGTGGTGGGAACTGGGGTCCCTGACAGTTAGTGTGATGAGTGGTGGGAACTGGGGTCCCTGACAGTTACTGTGATGAGTGGTGGGAACTGGGGTCCCTGACAGTTACTGTGATGAGTGGTGAGAACTGGGGTCTCTGACAGTGTGATGAGTGGTGAGAACTGGGGTCCCTGACAGTTAGTGTGATGAGTGGTGAGAACTGGGGTCCCTGACAGTTAGTGTGATGAGTGGTGAGAACTGGGGTCCCTGACAGTTACTGTGATGAGTGGTGGGAACTGGGGTCTCTGACAGTGTGATGAGTGGTGAGAACTGGGGTCCCTGACAGTTAGTGTGATGAGTGGTGAGAACTGGGGTCCCTGACAGTGTGATGAGTGGTGAGAACTGGGGTCCCTGACAGTGTGATGAGTGGTGGGAACTGGGGTCCCTGACAGTTACTGTGATGAGTGGTGGGAACTGGGGTCCCTGACAGTTAGTGTGATGAGTGGTGGTGGGAACTGGGCCCCCACACCAGTTGCTTGGAGCATTTTCTTCCTTTATGGCTCCAAGGATCTGGGTTTGGCTGTGGGTTGCCCTGGACTGACTGTGTGTCCTGGATTCCTAGCTCAGGGAACTCACAGCCAAGAGCTTTGCTCTCACTGCTCCGGAGATGAGGGACGCTTGCTCACAGGGTCACCACCGTCTGCTAGAGAGAACATGCTGCTCTGAGCCTCACAACTGAGGAGGCCACCATGCCATCCTGTGTGGTTCTTTGCCAGGGTGCTGTGTGTGAGTCAGTGACACATGGCAATGGCTTTTGCCATGAACACTTGTTTTTTTAATGAGTAAATGTGTTTTGCATTTTAGTTGTGTATGTGGGTACTTCTGCATTATGTAATTCTCTAGAGTCGCTGCCTTTCCTTACTCCCACTGAACATGCTTGGATCACTGAATCAGTTGTCTCTGTAGAAGGAGATCAGTGCAGCCTTCCTTCCTCATGCAGGCTCCACTTTTTCTTTTGGAGACAGATTCTCTCACTCAACCTAGAGCTCACTGAGTCAGCAGGCGCGAGTTACATCTCCAGTCCCTTAATCAAGTTCTTTTGAAAAATACAAATCTATTTCTTCTGGGGATGGGCTGGGGAGGTTGAAGACACAATGGGAGGCAGGAAATTAGTACCCCAAAGACCCGTGTGTGTGTGTGTGTGTGTGTGTGTGTGTGTGTGTGTGTGTGTGTGTGTGTGTGTATGCATGCTGTTGTTTCTGTAGGATATTCAGGGTTCATCTAGCCCATTTCTTTTTCAACAGTACTTTTTATTTTTCACTGGAAAAATATTTAAATATTGTACTTTGAAGATTAAACATAAAATAAATCAGTTTTGTAAGTAGATGGTTCTTTTCAAAGAAGTGGGGAGACGCCATGTAGCCACCCCTATGTTATGCAATGTGAATAGCATGCTTTATTGATTTTTGTTTTGTTGAGGTGCTGAGTCCCTGCAAATAATAATAATAATAATAATAATAATAATAATAATAATAATAATGGTTTTAAACATTTGGAAACATGATGATGTGTTGGAGTCCATGTCCTCTGTTATTCTTGACACCGTCCCTGACCTGAATGTGAAGAATGGCCTTTATTCATGCCAAATGTCACAACAGAAACTCCATCAAAGTTAGAACATCCTGAAGTTTCTTACTTAGCCATAAAGAAGAATGCAATCATGTCATTTTCGGAAATGGATGGGACTAGAAATCATCGAAATTAGCCAGACTCAGATCCCACATGGTCTGTCTTATGAAGAACCTAGAGTTAAAAATATAAGACTTGCCTGGGTATCACGGCATACACCTTTAATCTCAGCACTAGGGAGGCAGAGGTAGGTGGATTTCTCTGAATTTGAGACCAGCCTGGTCTACACAGTGAGTTCCAGGACAGACGGAACTACATAGACAGGACCCCGCCCTTTCTCTCTCTGTCTCTGTCTCTCTCTCTCTGTCTCTCTCTTTCTGTATGTATGTATAAGATAAAGCAGGAGAAAGGATACACACACACACACACACACACACACACACACACACACACACACGAATGACATAAAGGAGGAGACAGGATATATATCTATATGTATACGTATATGAATTACAAAGTAGGAAGACTGTATACACACAGGAATGACGTAAAGTAGGAGAAGAACTCTCAAGTATCAAGGATGGCCAAGAGAAGGAACTGATAAAAGTACATTATGTGCACTCTGACAGCGTCACCGAAGTCCATCACTGTGTTAGGTTGCTTTCTCTACTCGCATCACACACAGTGTGAGTGAGGGCGCGATCTGCAAGATGTCCCCAGTAGTCAAGTTAGGTCCCTTTGCCGTGTCTGTGCCTCCTCTGTGTGTATGATGGTTCCTAACACTCGCTGTGCTTATTCCCTTGCAGCAGCAGGCTGACTCAGAAAAAGACCATGACAACAAGAAAATCAGACTGGAGAAGGGAGTCCAGCCGCACTGTGCTCCTTCATCTTCCCACCCCGAATCTTCCAAAGCGAAGTGAGTATGGCCGGCGGGAACAGCCTGGGATGGTTAACCAGGCCACGGGGGACGGGACAGAAGGCTTTCTTCCACACTAGAGGCAGCAGCGCACTAGTGATGTGTTCTGAGCCAGTGAGGGTCCCGTCCACGAAGGCCCCGTGAGGACTGACACTCCTGACAGCAAACCTAGATTTATCGAAAACATTTCCACTAAAGGAGCTTTTCCTAAATACTGAGGATCACTGTTTTCTTTAGAAAACCTTTCTTTAGTGGTGTTGAGGATGAACTCGGGGCCTTATACCTGCTAAGCAAGGTGCTCTGCCACCCAGCTGATTCTTGCCTGGATTTTTTTTTTCCCCTGGAAGAAAATAAGAGAAGTGGTACAGTTCAGTGGAGGAGCACTTAGAGCATGCGGTGAGGTCCTAGAATCAAGCCCTACTGCTGGATAGGCATAGGGCAGAAGAGAAGAGTTCCGTCACTGCTTTCTTGTGCTTGTTTATTTGTTTGTTTGTTTGTTTATTTATGTATGTGTTTTTTTAGCAGGGTGGGAAATGGGTAACATTTGCTCAAAGCCCTGGGGTTCCTGCTGGGTCTTGCTTTGACTTGGGATAGCTCGGGTTCAGTGCTCTGTCGTAGGGATGAGTAAGAGCTACACGGCCTTCATGTGTCTGTGAGTGTGAGAGAAATGACAGATGACAATAGTAGTGTCAATATGACTATCGATTATAGTGACTATAAATATAATATATATGTATATGTGTGTGTGTGTGTATATAAAATAACAGTGACTATAAAAAGTAACCGTTATTTGAAATTGCCTCACAAGAGACCCAGCAAACACAAGTGCATCACAAGTGCATTTTGGGGGTGGGGCTGAGCAGGGGGAGCATGCCATCAGATACAGGAGAGTGACAGATGTGGCGGTGGCGGCAGCTGAGCTGGCCTGTTTGTCGGGTTCAGATACAGATAGATGAGAGATGGAAATGGTCAGAGTCTTCTAGCTTAGTTTGTTACTGAGGGTTAGACTTCAGAGAGTATCGAAACGTCCCCCAAACCTGGCCTTTCTGCAGCATAATTACATGCTCTGTGGCGCTGCAGTCTTGTGCCAGTGACCATTTGGTCTTTTGTAAACAAACTCAGCTGTGCTAAGTGTTCTGCTGTGACTGCCCTTGCTCTGCAGGACACCCAGGCCCTCCTCAGAGTCCTCAAGAAAGGAAATGCTTCCTCCTCCACCTGTGCCATCCTCCTCCTCCTCGTCGTCTTCCTCCTCCTCCCAGAAGTCAACCAAAACTGCACACAAGAGGTCAAAGCCGGATGCAGACACCTGTAGTCAGGACCCTCCCAAAAGTGCCAGCAGCACCAAGAGCAACTCCAAGGACCCTTCCGTTCCCAAGCACAGAAAAGTGCAGGCCAGGGGCCCCGAATACAAAGTAAGCAGCCGCAGTGGTGGGCGGGGCAGGAGTGTGGTCAGGACATCCGTCTGTTTTAGTACAGACGGGGTGGGCCCTTTATTAAAGTGAACCAGAGAAAAGTCACACTAGCTTTCATGTGTTTCTGTCACATGCTTGGCTTAAGAAATGGGTTAGTTCAGGTCTTCATTTGGAACTTTAACCTCAAATACTTCAATTATTGATCCTAACGGGAAATAAATCAGGCGGCCTGGCTTCCAGTTAGCCTGGGGCAAGTTGGGGTGGGGGCTGCTCCGCGGGTGTTACCTGCTCTTCCCCTGTAGCTTCAGTTAAATCTACAGCTCTGGAAGCACTGAACCAAGCTGGACTGTGGGTTGACTTACTCTGACTTACTCGGCACACTGCTCTCCTGGGCTTGGGAGGGCTGTTGCTGCCCGGGCAATGGTCCTGTCCACTGAGGGGGTGATGTGTATGTGTTTTAAAGGGGTCTTCTGGAGAAGCTGCAAACCCTTTCCCAGTGCCTTCTTTGCCAAATGGTAACTGTAAACCAGGGAAGCCACAAGTGAAGCCTGACAGGTAAGCCCCGCCCCCTCCTGACAGCTAAGCCCCGCCCTCTCCCTTCTCCCCGCCACGCCCCCTCTCCTTTTCCTCCTTTCTTGCTTGCCCCCAGGTAGTCTTTTTAGGTTTGTATGACTCACACCTGCCTTGTCGTCTTTATTTTTGCAGACAGCAAGCTGACTTTCACATGAAGGAGGCTAAAAAGTTGAAGTGCAAAGCAGAGGCAATGGTCAGTCTGGTTTTTACGCCCTTGGTTGAACAGTCTCTGATTAAGGGGCAAAACTGTGGTCTCCGGTCTGCCGTATCGCACAGCATGGGGTGTATATGTATGGGGGGGTAGTAGGAAGACTGTGTGTGTGGGTTCTGGGGTGAGGGGCGGCAGGAGGAGTGTGGCTTCTGTTAGCCACATTTTAAGCAAGTCAAAGTCTTAATGACCGAGGCCTGGGGTGTTTTAGGGGAACTGTGTTCTTTGGCTCCATTAGTTCCGTCTGATTGTGTACAGACTTACAGACTCAATGGAAGCTGATCTATGTGATGTTGGTGTAGGTGTATAAATGCTTTTTTTCCAATCCACTTAGTCAGTCCTTGAGATGTACAAAATGGGTAATTATTCAATCAGTCTGCCCACCCTAACACTGCACAAGCTCTCTTGCCCGCTGAGCCGTCTCATTAGCCTCCTGGAAGGCACTCTGGACAGATTGCCCCTGTAGACCCACATACACGCAGACCTGTTGGCTCTTTGTGACCTGACTTAGCTGTCCCCTGTTGGCCACCAGGACTTTGGCCTATGCCTTTCTACCCCAGGTTTCAAGTCCTCTGTTTACCAGATAAAATGGCCCTTGGTTACCTCCTGTGCTTGGTGCTGTGAGGGATCTAGGTGCCCTTTGGCCCTAGGACTGACCCCACCCTACCCCGGGCTGTGTGGTGGCTCAGCCCGTGCCAAGCAGTGCTGCCCTTTCCACTGCCTCTTCCCCACTCTCCAAGATGCTGTAGGAGCTGTGACAGGCATGCCTTTGTTAGCCTCACAGAGAGAGTCCTTAAGGAAGTGGGCCTGGGCTGATTGGTAGACGATACTTCATTTCTACACCCAGGGTAATAGTCATTTTGGAAACTGCCCAAGAGAAATTGTTTTAAATGTTGAGGTTTGAGAATTAGAGTCCTGGGCTTGGTTACAGGAGTTAAGAGCACTTGCCGCTCCAGCAGAGGACCTAGGCTCAGTTCCCAGCACCACGTGGCAGCTCACGATCACCTGTAACTCAAAGTCTAGAGGATCTGACGCCCCCTTCTGGCCTCTGCAAGCACAGCACGTTTTCACTGTGCACATAGACACATGCAGGCAAAGCAGCCATATCCATGAAAATAAAGGGAATTAGAGCCTCATCAATGAGGAAAACTAGTAATGACCCATACGGCTGATTGAGGCACATTAGTTTGACTTGCATTCTTTCTGTCACTCATTTTTCTGAGCTTATGCTCTCTAGGAAAAATACTAAGCTTTAGAGTGTCTGCAGTGCAGGCGCATGCTTGTGTGTGTCCTCGGGTGTGCATGTGACACCCTAGTCTGTCCCTCTAGTGGTAAGATGCGCAGCAGGGGAAGAGCTGCTACATCCCTATCGCTGGCGCATAGCAGCAGCACGTGGAAACCCAGAGCAGCCTAAGATGGATCTGCCTACGTGTTTCCAGCATGTGTCTTTACTGTTTTCTTCCCTTTTGAACACATCAAATTGAAGCATTAGTAAAACCTACAAGCGGCCCATGTCAGCCAGCTGCTCTCAGTGTGTGTCACACACGCCACGTGCAGAGACACGGGCTGTTTGCCACATTCCTGCTGAGCTGAATTGGCTGCATGCCACTCGTGGATTCGGGATTGGGCAGACCACCAGAATCTGATTGTTTCTATTTCCACATTTCCTTGAGGGGACTTTGAGAGTTTGTCCCTGTCGGCCCAGGGCATATCCTTGTACAAAAAGCCAACGTGCCAAAGGGGATAAATAGTCATCAAGTGATCAGTTAGATATTTCATGTAAGATGCCTATGAGATGATAAACCTCGACCTCCATAAAGAAACACGTCTGTTCTGTGAATGTGCTGGCTGCCTGCTTCTCAGAGGCATCCAATGAGTGACGATTGCTAACGGGGCGGTACCCTTTGTGCCTGGTGGAGTTCTGAGAGTCGTCTTCATATAGAATTACTTTCTTTTCCCTAGTGAATTTTTGCTGGAAGCCACTTTTCATAGGTCAGAGCTGACCGCTATAACTATTCGTCTTGTTCTATTCTTTCTCGTGTCTTTCTGATCAGGGGTAAATAAAGACAGTAGAGAAGGAGGATACTGACTGAGAGCTCCCTGTGGCCTCACAAAGCCCGTGTTCTTCTCCCACAGGCGGACAAGGCTGGAAAGGCCTTCAAGTATTTGGAAGCTGTCCTGTCCTATATTGAGTGTGGGATGGCCACCGAGTCAGAAAGCTCGGCCAAGTTGGCGTACGCTGTGTACTTGGAAGCTGCAGACCTCATTAAGTAAGTGTTGGGGTGTCGGCCATCCTCCAAATCTGTCTCTCTCCTCACTGGATGTGAAGACATCTAAAGAGGGGACCCTGGAAAGGTCCCTGTAGCTCAGTGGTAGCACCTGCTTGTCAGGACCCAGGCTCTAGGTTGGTCCACACATTTTTTCTTGTCCTGAATTAAAGTGTGTTCTAGATGAGGGAACACAAGATGACTGGGTGCAACTAGGTCATTTTGCCAAGTGCTGTGAAGAGGACGCCGAGTCTCAGGAGGGTAGTTTTCCCAGCTTAGGTTTCATATCGGCTGTCTTCTCCAGCACATGCTCCCTGCATTTCATTGGGGGTTTATCGAGGATGTGGCCAAGCTTGGTTTCAGGAGAGAGCAGGCTCAGGCCAGGTCTTCTGAGCGGCTTGTGGTTGCTCTTAACCCCCGTGATTCTGTGTTGCGCACATCTTCATGTCCTCTGGAAGATAGGAGAGGGAGCTGGCACAGCCAGCAAACCTGGGCTCCTGTAACCGGCCTGTTTAATTCATCCCAGGCACTTTTGTATCTCCCCGCAGGTTCACAATGTCACTAAAATCCTTCTCAGATACCACGGCGCCAGCACAAGAAAAGATATTTGCCGTTTTATGGTATGTACATTTTCATTTGTTATATAAATAGCACTTTTCTTTGATTAAAAATTATCTTAAAAAAATTTTTTTTTTGAGACAAGGTCTCTCTACATAACTCTGGCTGTTCTGGAACTCTGAGTCTGAGGCCAGCCTGGTCTATGTAGAGGTCTGCCTGCCTCTGCCTTTCCAGTGCTGGGATTAAAGGTGTGTGCTAGCACACCTGGCTATAAATTTATTTTCTTAAAGTGAAAATTATGCCAGAGGCAAGTGAGCCCCACCACGGCCATCAGGAAATGGTGTCTCCTGTACTTTTTCTTCTGCCCCTTTGGGGGCTGCTTTGGTCTCAGGAGTCAAGTGACGTATGTGCATTTGTTTTTCTGCCAACATTTACTTTTGGTGGTGGCGTGCAGTGCGGTGGTGAGATGCTTGAGACGACTTCCCCCGCCATAGAGGAAACCCCACCGTGCTCCCAAGGGCTGATTGGCAGGAGCTCTGGCCATGAGGTCATCCCCAATTCACGGGAACCCGTTTGTGTTCACAGTTTGCGCTGCCAGTCCCTGTTGAACATGGCGATGTTTCGCTGTAAAAAAGACGTCGTAATGAAGTATTCTCGCACTCTTAGTGACCACTTCAAGAGTTCTTCCAAAGCGGCCCAGGCACCTTCTCCATGCATGGCAAGGCAAGTGTTAAGTATGGTTAAATAACACACAGTCAAGTCATTCACCTATTGCTTGTGCAATGTTTTATGTGTTTGTGATTTTGAGTTTTTCACAAATCCTGCAGTTCACCTTTATGTGTACTGGCTGCTTAAACTTTAACCATTAGCTACTTTTGACCCTCTGAGAAACAGGTATAAAACTAAATTTACTTTGATGAGATAACATGCAAGTACAGTGATCCTCTCTTACCTGCCAATAGGTACATCCCAAAATTTCCAGTGGGTGACCTAAAATTACAGTTCTGAGCCTTCTGAGCCTTCCCCAAGCTGCATCTTTTGCTATACAAGTTCAGTTGAGAAGACAGGAACTGCAGGAGATTAGTAACAGTGGCTGAGCCAGTGTGGGCTCTGGGGCAGTGCAGTGCTGAGCCAGTGTGGGCTCTGGGGCAGTGCAGTGCTGAGCCTGTGTGGGCTCTGGGGCAGTGCAGTGCTGAGCCAGTGTGGGCTCTGGGGCAGTGCAGTGCTGAGCCAGTGCGGGCTCTGGGGCAGTGCATGTGCTGAGCCTGTGTGGGCTCTGGGGCAGTGCAGTGCTGAGCCTGTGTGGGCTCTGGGGCAGTGCATGTGCTGAGCCTGTGTGGGCTCTGGGGCAGTGCAGTGCTGAGCCTGTGTGGGCTCTGGGGCAGTGCAGTGCTGAGCCAGTGTGGGCTCTGGGGCAGTGCAGTGCTGAGCCTGTGTGGGCTCTGGGGCAGTGCAGTGCTGAGCCTGTGTGGGCTCTGGGGCAGTGCAGTGCTGAGCCTGTGTGGGCTCTGGGGCAGTGCAGTGCTGAGCCTGTGTGGGCTCTGGGGCAGTGCATGTGCTGAGCCTGTGTGGGCTCTGGGGCAGTGCAGTGCTGAGCCAGTGTGGGTCTCTTGGCTTTTATCTCAGCACACACAATAGTAGAACAATTTTAACAACACAGTAATGAGACTGTGCCCTCTCTGTTGAATCCAGATGAACAGTGGTATTTTCAGGCATGGCTCAAGTTAAGCTGTGGATAGTGGGAAAAGTATAACCTCAGACTATTATAGAGGCAGCAGTTTGGCATTTCAAGCGTGTTTAGGTATCTAAGCTCACAAAACTGCTGGAGGCAAACCAACACCAGCAGAAACTGGTGTCCTCTCCCCTTTGATAAATCTTCAGTAACATTTCAGTAAACAAGAGCTGCCGAGAACCATGTGTACTTGGCCCTTTCCAGGACCCATACTCTGAACAGAAACTGCCCACGTTTGCTGTTAGATGCTGACAAACAGAATCCTTAGACTGTTTGCGGGTGAGCGTGAACGTTGGGATGTGGCTCCTCATGGTCTTGCCCAGCGCTGTTTGTTCTAAGACAGGACCGCACTGATAGCCCAGACTGCACCTGTGTGTTTTGTTTCTTGTTTGTATTCCTCGGGGAGTCCTGTTCCTCCTGGGCCTTGCTTTTAGAGAGCATTGAATGTAATTCAGACCCATGTCTAGCAATCAAAAAGGGAGGGACTTAAGTGGCCTCTTAAAGAACGTCCTGTGCTCCCGCGGGCAGCACGTATATTAAAATTGCAATGATACACAGAAGATTAGCATGGCCCTGTGCAAGGATGACATGCAAGTCTGCGAAGTGTTCCATATTAAAAACAAACAAACAAAACCACATCATGAGGAAGGAGTCTAGTCTGAGAGCATATGCTGTCATTCACGTGATTTAGCTAGGGCGGCTTCTCTGTAACAACCCTCACAGCTGCCAGGGTGCAGCAGCCCCACCACTCGGGCAGCTCCCTCTCTAGTGTTTTGACATTGACAGCTCTGATCATGCAGCGGCTTCTGCCCCACCTTTCCATCTTCTGTCATGCTTACGTGATTGAGCTGTTTTCCCCCTTGGGCCCAACTGAAGCACGTGAGCTCGCTCGTAGGACCAGGCCATCAGCCAAGGACAGGAGAGAGTACCGGGGCTCCTGACCACACTCCCTGTGCGCAGCCTGCCGCTGGTCTGTATTTACTGGCTCAGTAGGAGTAGGAGCCAGGCTCTGTGGTATAGCCTCAGGTCGGTGGCTCTGTGGTATAGCCTCAGGTCGGTGGCTCTGTGGTACAGCCTCAGGTCGGAGAGTCGGGTCTGACAAGGTTTACTGCCGAGTGGAGGCACAGCTCAGGGTGAGAACCCAGGTCAGTCTTCCAGATGTGCCTTTGATCTTTTAAGGGTGTCGTTAGCAGCGATTATTGTTTTGGGGAACACACCCTGAAATTTAGACTGCAGTCTGGAAACGGTAGTCTGTGATCTGCTAGTTTATGTGATTAACCAAGTCTCTCTCCATCCTTGCAGGAGCACAGGCGTTCCGTCCCCCCTCTCCCCGATGCCTTCTCCTGCCAGCTCCGTAGGGTCCCAGTCAAGTGCTGGTAGCATGGGGAGCAGTGGGGTGCCGGCCACCGTCAGTACCCCGGTCACCATCCAGAACATGACCTCCTCGTACGTCACCATCACATCCCACGTCCTTAAGGCCTTCGACCTTTGGGACCAGGCGGAGGCCCTTACAAAGAAGAATAAAGGTGAGGGGCTCTGGTAGTGGCCGGTGTGGTGTGGCGGTGGGAGGGGAGGTGTTTTGGTTCCTGTTTACGTTCTCACGAAGCAACAGAGATAGGTCTATAGCCACTCCTCTTGTCCCTCCGCTCCGCTCCGCTCCCTAACCGGTTGCAGATCTTCCTTGAGGTCTGTGGTGTGAGCTAGATTTCCGAGGCCGGATCTCTGCCGAGCCAAATTAGACTTGGCCTTAGCGTTCTGCCTCTTGGCACATGTTGGCATCAATGTTTCGGCCTGAACCGAACCGCTAGCGAAAGGGCGGAGCTGGAGCAGAGGTGCGGGCCGCTGTCCCTTGGCTCAGCATGTGCGAGATGAAGCCGCACGGACCGTTTGTTTTCAGCGTGTTAAGATGACTGGCTACAGTCCGAGACGTACAGCGTAGCTCACATTATTATTGAGACCTTTTGGGGGAGGACCGGGAACTCCAGGTTTGAGTCAGGGGAAGTAAATGGTGCCCGTGCCAAAGTTCACACACACAAGTGCCCGGTGACCACCATTAGATCTTCCCGGTGTAAGATGATGGCCGGCGCTGTAGCTCTCGATTTCCCCCCAGCCTCTTTGCCTCCTCTTGTACATTCCTTGGTCACAATGCATCACTTGGACACCACACGCACCACTGTACTAGGCGTGAGTTACAGATTCAACTCAGGAGGAGGTGGGCTGTCAAGAATTAGCCAGCACTTACAGACAAGCATGCTAGGTGAGCCACAGGATATTGTGGGGATACTGTCCCCGGACTATTGGTCTCCATTTTAATTTGATGCCGTACATGTGCGTTTACTCGTGTGGTTTGGGTTTCATTGCAGAATTCTTCGCTCAGCTCAGCACAAAGATGCGTGTCTTGGCCCTCAACAGCAGCCTGGTGGACCTGGTGCACTACACAAGACAGGGTCTGCAGCGGCTGAAACAAGCCCCCAAAGCTCCCTAATGCAGGCTGGGCTTACCCAATGCCTTGGAATGTCTTTGCACAATTGGAAGCCTTGATCCAGTGTAGAGGACGGTCTGATTGGGATGTCGACAACACTCAAGAAGTGAAGCGCCGTGAGATGGCCGGTACGCTTGCCCACTTAACCTCACAAGCCTGCGTGGCCATCAGCTGGACACTGGTTAGCAGAGCGGACGATGGTCAATGATCTGCCTTTCCCAGTGGAAGGACAGAAGTGCAATGGAGCCTAACTGGTGTATGAATGGTCGAGACACATTTCTGGTTTTTACTTTCTGTTGGTTTGGACAATGGGATGCAAGCTGCAACTGAAAGGAAGAGGGGCAGATTCCTGTCATCTCAGTAGCCACACTAGTTCACTTCCAGAAGGAGGTTTTTTTAAAATAATAATAATTTTTGGTGAAGGGTTTTATGGGTATATATTTTTTCTTTTCAAGTTTTAAAGCAAACATTGTTTAATAAATTCTAATGGCCACCTGTAAAATAGAAGTTGTGAAGGATTCCACTGTGCCTCACTTCCGGCAGTGAACAGTGGCTCTGACACTGAGTATTATCATTTAGAAGATTGAAGGTGACGCCTCCCCCCTCCCCCCTCCCCCAGTGCCTAGAGTCCTGCACACTGTCTAGCTCTGGTCTCTTTGGCTGCACTGAGAGCATCCCAGGTCAGCCCTAGAGGAGCGGCAGCATTTAGATCCAGGATCCATCTTACCCGTCTTCCCGGCATCCCAGGAAGCTTCATACTTCCTGCTGCCACACTCCTGGAAAGTGACTGGCTAAGCAGCGCCCTGGATTGTTTTACATTTCCCAATGTCTGCCTTGGGCAGGAGGCTGATGTCCTTCATCATGTGTCTCCTAGAGCCCCAGGTGCCGCCAGAGTCGTGGCAACTGGCGCATCAGTGAACGAACTCGAGATCTTCCTACAGAGGCTGTATTTTTCTGCTACAAATTATATTTATAGCAAAACTCAACTTTTCCAAAGCCCTTGATTATCCAGGGGATACTGCCTCCCTGAGAGGATGTGGAGATTTGGGGGGATTAATTCAACTTAAAAAAAAAGAAAGAAAGAAAGAAAGAAACCCATCACCACACCCCTTCACTCCAGGCCATCTTCTCAGGTACCGTGACTCAATGACGTTGAAGAGGACCTGTGACCTTCCCAAGCTCTACCCCGCCCACATTAAACCAAGTCCACTCAACAGACAGTGAAAGGACACACTCAGAATTCACACCTGCCCATAAGCACAGGCCTTTCACTGAAACTTGAAGGTTATTACTGGAATACGCTTCAGTGCAGTGTTTTTTAAAAGCCGATTCTTTTTACCCCTTCTAGAAGGTAGACTTTGCACGAACGTGTTATGGCCGGTTGCTGTTTGTTCTCCTCACTCCCCGTCTCCACTTCCTACCAGCCCTGCTGTGTGTCTGTATCTGTAGAGAGTGGAGACAGGAGGCCCATCTTAGTGAGAGTGCCTGAGGGTCGCTTGGGTGATGGATGGGAAGACTTTCTTGGTACCTTGGTGAGTCTACACAGGGGCTGCAGGTGGGTGTGATGCCGGGTGTTTGTCTGTCCTCTGAGCCTTCCATCCTGCTTTGGATAAAGCCAGAGAACAGCTGGCTACCTTGCCCACATCTGAGCATGGACTGTGGCCGTGATCTGACGAAGCAGCTTTTTACTCACAGGCTGAAGCAAAGCCACGTTTCTTTAAAGTTACCTGAGCTGCGGCATGTGGCAGGCTGACTCTGGCACTTTGTCGCCTCTTGAGCAGCGTGGGCTTGTGGACTCTTGAGGCTCTTTTCCCTTTTCCCATTGTTTGTCTATGGACAGCAAGGGCTGTACCTTTAAAACAAGCTGCCTGTCACAGGGCTGTGATTGGGTCTGGTCGAGGCACATTGTGCCAAAGCACGGGTGTGTCCTGCCGGCAGGCCACTGCGCCCCTTGACTGAACACATCCAGCCAGAGCAGGAAGAACGGGCCGCCTCATCCTTTGTACTGGACTGTTTTCTCCTCAATTTACTACAGTTTTGTTTGTACCTTGAAAACTAATGAATTTGGACAGACCTCTTTGTACCAGTGTGGTCTGTAGATAGGTTCCCCACAACGCTGTCCTAAAGCGAGCAGGCCTCCAGCCGCCCTTTTCCTGGAGTGAACACAGTGGCTGGTCAGTGCGTCACTGCTCGTGGTGGAAGCCTGAAGAACCTTTCCAACCGTTTGCACTTTCCACTATATGCTTACAGTTTCCAAAGGCAACTTTTCCCCTGAGGTAATTCATTTGGAAGGACTGTAAAATTCACCCTTTGAGTGTGTGAGGTTCCTGTAGCCATAGAAGAGCATATACTTCATGGTGAAGTAGGCAGCGTACTGGGTGTGAACATGAATCTTTGCCTTTCCCACTACAAAGGGTGTGTATGGCCTGTCTGGCCGCAACAGAAAGTAGAGGGACACACGTTTTTCCCAAGTGTTGAATGTTTCCAGAAATAATTAAAATTGGATACATGTGAAAGCCCTGCTAGATAATAAAAGCCCGTGGCTGAAGCCGGTTGCTCTTTAAGGAGGGCAGGCCCCATGGGAGCAGGAGGAGCAGGAGGAGCAGTGTGTGCAGCCCAGCAAGTGCATCCTATGATTGCATGGGAAGTACCCGATTTATTTTGTAGCTGTTTTGACAGTGTTTGTCCATCCTCTAGACAGACAGGACCCCACCCATGCCTGTGTTCTCTAATTCTAGATCTTAGGACGTTTAGAGCGGGTTCTTCCCCATCTCAATTGAAAATGTGCCTTAACTGACACCTTGTGTATTGATGTTAGGGACAGGACCTCGATCTTAGAATTCCTGCTTACAGAGCACTGTGGGCTCCACAGCGACGGTCTCTGATGCCCAGGACGAGAGATTCATCTAGACGTATTTGTGCCTTTGTTGACCAAACAGTTTCTGAAGTAATGCTGTCGGTTTTGCCACGGCTTCAAGGGTTTATGTTTACTTTCCTGTTTTGTGAAGTTTGAGGTGTATTTGTGCATCTTAAACTAAGTGAGTTGGGCTTAAAAAAAATCTTTCCATGCCTCCTACAGATTACTTCTTTCTCTTAATGATTTATTTTCCCAACACTACAAAACATCTTTGAAAATTTTCCACTTCATCTGTTTCAGTCTTTAAATACTTTAGCAATATTTAACTCTAAGAATGCTGTGGGCCCCTTTTAGAAACACAGAAGACTAGATTGTTCTCCCTGAAGAATGAGCTACGGCTTTGCAGCTGGGAACATGCTGGGCTGTTGGTCGGTTCTGGTCCATTTGGAGATAACGGGTGTGAGGACTTTTCCTGTGCCTTTAACTTGTTGTCCTGTGGAAGGGGAGTTCAAGGGCAGAAGGGCATGGTGTTGGGATTTTCCTTCAAAGTCTGGAAGTGGTATTTCTACCAGGTAGCCCTCCAATACGTGGTCCAGTCATGCCGGCTTACTGTTGAGAACTGTTGCCTTATGGCCGCGCTCTCATTGAGGATGCATTGACAAGCGCATGTCTTCAGGTGGCTGTAAATCCTTGGGGGTGAATCACACTATATTCTGTCCCACTGTGCATCCGACATCAGCAGTTACTGTGATGAACAAGAAGTGCCTCTTTCCCCACCTGAGGGAGCCAGAGGATAGGAAGGAAGCCTAGAGCTCCCGGGAGCCTGTATGTTGCTACATCTGTCCGTAGGACACTGGAATAAGGCCACTGACAGGCAGGCCACGCTGCACTGCTGGGCCACGCGGTGGTTGACCTAAGGAAGATGGACTCACTTTGCCTAGGTGTTTTAGCAATACTCAATACAGGCAGTATTAAGTTTGCCTTTGTTCGGGCCATGATATGTGTGTATTGCTAATACTGCACACCCTCACGATATCAAGTACACACTGTTCATGTTGGGGTGTGTGCACGTGTGTCCCCGAATCTTGTTTTAATTTTTTCTGAATGTGATCATATTTTGGATGATACCTGAGCAGGGTTCCCTTTTTTTTTATTTATTACCATTATATATTATATTATATATTATATATTTACTTTCTTATAATGTTAGAGAAAAGTCAAATCTTGGTATTATTAAAATTGCTTTAAGAATGAATAGGTTGTCCAGGTGATCATGAAAATCACTGGTATGTCTTTAAAATAATGAGTTTTTCTTTGATTACCATGAAATAATGTGCCAGCTCTCACTAATATGATGGTTTTGTATGCGGACTTGGGAAGCATTGCTGCTCCTGGGGAAGGTATACAAGAATAAGGGAAACACCACATTTTTATCAGCTTCAGAAACGGAACTGCAAACTTGGGGCTTTTGTGAATAAAATTTAGCTGCCTTGTAGAATCCTTTGAAAGAGGCAGACATGATCTGTGAGAGAATTTTTCTTTCTTTTTTTTTTTAAAGGAGAAAAATCTGCAAAAGGTCCTTCCAAAGAAAATGTGCCACAGATCTTTTGTTTTTCTCTGTAATGAGGATTAAGTGCTGTTTTACAAAATGTAATTATTGATTTGTTCATCTTCACAGTCTTTCCTTTCCACAAGATCAAACTGTAGAAAAAAATATTTAATAAAAATTTAGAGAAATCGTTGGAGTTGAGCCTGTGGTTTTTACTCTGCCCACATATGGCAGTTCTTGTTTGTTTGCTGGGCCAGGGTCTGTCTGGAGCCCGAGGCTGAGCTCAGGCTCACAGGTCCGCCTGCCTCACCTGCCCAGTGCTGGCACGCGCCGCCATGCCACGCCGCCAGCTATGGCAGAGTGACGCTCTGCTGCGTTCACAGCATGTTTATATTGTTGATGTGGGGAAGAAGTGCCACCCTGAACGCTAAGAGCCTCTCTTGGTTTGCTGTGGCAGACAAGCTGTGAACCCTCAGCGCTGGGGGACGGGGGGCTGGGGGGCTCTAAGCTGTAAACCCTCAGTGCTGGGGGATGGGGGGCTGGGGGGCTCTAAGGAACGCCTCAACAGTTGCTGGACATTAGACAAGTCAGGCACTGGCTCCGATTTCCTGGATTTGGACCTCAGCTCCTCAGCTTTCTAGCTCTGGGGCTTTGGACTCGTCACGTAACCTCTCTGGTCTTGTTTATATGATTGCTACTCCATCAGGTTGAAAAGGCCAGAGAAGACTGGTTTAACCCCGTTTTCCATTTTCATCCTCTTAGTCCTAATGACAGAATATGTATGACCCATCGAGCAAGCCCATGGTGAAGGTGACTAGTGTAAGTGTAGGAAGGGAGCCTGTGCTCACTGACACAGATCTCAGCTGAGGTGGGCCTTGAGAGATGGGTCTTCTGGGGTGTGTGATGTTTTTTTCACGAAGACTTGTATAACCTTACATTTCAGCAGTGGCTGTACTGACTCATCTAACCAGCTGTCTCTTAGATACCCAGACTTTGTAATTTGGGGAGTGTCACAAAGCTGCGGTTCTCAACCTGTGGGTTGTGACCATTTGCCAAACTTGTATCTCTGAAAATATTTGCACTCTGATTCCTAACAGTAGCAGAATTACAGTTCTGAAGTAGCAACGGAAAGAACTTTACAGCTGAGGGTCACCACATGAGGAGCTGTGTTAGAGGATCGCAACGTTAGGAAGGCGGAGAACCACTGGTGTAAAGGAAATGTCCATGACTATCCCTGAAACAACGCTTGTGAGAAAACATCAAACCACTTCCTGGGATAAATTCTCGAAGTGGATTACAGAGTGAAAAGACGCAGACATTCCCCATCCATACAGAAGTCAGAACAAGCAGTACAATACATACACATGCCGACCATTCTGAGGGAAAGTGTAGGTACGGGGCAAATGTTTTCCCCTAAAAGTTTTAGCATGTGCCTCTCTGGACACCCGCAAGTACAGCCACAGCATCACTGCAGACGCTAAGAAAACATCCACATTTGACATTCATACCCTGCCAGTGCCCTCAAGGTGTACTGCAGTCGTTGTCAACATGGGTTCAACTGTATTGTACATTTTCTGTGGTCGTTCTGCCCGAGTCCAGGGAGGCGCATCACCGAGGCCGAGTTACAGCACTCGGCCCCACCGTTCCCACCATCATTGCGCATTTGGATGCTTCGGGAGTTTACATTACCTGCAGAGACTTCTCTGTTGGGGCCATCGGAGCGATTTCAGTATTCAGATTCACTGCAAATAATGATGTGGCTCTTTACTGGACTATAAGCAGAGGTCTATAGTCTAGCTGTGACCAGGTCATTGGACTGTCTGGTTTTAGGAGCAGGACTCTGAGCACTTGTGGTTTCCTAGCAGACCACACTCTGCTGAAATGAGACTTAGGTGAGACACCAGGGCTCTGATAATGGAGGCTTTTGCCCTGCTAACAGGCTGGAGGGTGGGCCTGGAAACGCTCCCAACAGACAGTTCTATTTTGGCTGTAAAAGGCCATGTACCTGCTCTGGATTTAAACCCCTCTTTAAACCCCTCCTCCCTGTTACTGGGCTGCCCCTAAGAAGAAACAATTACGGGTTTTTACATCTCTGCTGCTAAATATTCCTGCAAATTACACTCTAAGCACCACTGCTTGGCACCAGAGTGAAAACAACAGAATACTCAGGTGCCTTGGCCCATCCTCACGGACCCACTACAGACTGCAGGAGGTCATCAGTGGCCCATCCTCACAGACCCACTACAGACTGCAGGAGGCCATCAGTGGCCCATCCTCACAGACCCACTACAGACTGCAGGAGACTGTCAGTGGCCCATCCTCACAGACCCACTACAGACTGCAGGAGGCCGTCAGTGGCCCATCCTCACAGACCCACTACAGACTGCAGGAGGCCATCAGTGGCCCATCCTCACAGACCCACTACAGACTGCAGGAGGCCATCAGTGGCCCATCCTCACAGACCCACTACAGACTGCAGGAGGCCATCAGTGGCCCATCCTCACAGACCCACTACAGACTGCAGGAGGCCATCAGTGGCCCATCCTCACAGACCCACTACAGACTGCAGGAGGCCATCAGTGGCCCATCCTCACAGACCCACTACAGACTGCAGGAGGCCATCAGTGGCCCATCCTCACAGACCCACTACAGACTGCAGGAGGCCATCAGTGGCCCATCCTCACAGACCCACTACAGACTGCAGGAGGCCATCAGTGGCCCATCCTCACAGACACACTACAGACTGCAGGAGGCCATCAGTGGCCCATCCTCACGGACCCACTACAGACTGCAGGAGGCCATCAGTGGCCCATCCTCACGGACCCACTACAGACTGCAGGAGGCCATCAGTGGCCCATCCTCACGGACCCACTACAGACTGCAGGAGGCCATCAGTGGCCCATCCTCACAGACCCATTACAGACTGCAGGAGGCCATCAGTGGCCCATCCTCACGGACCCACTACAGACTGTAGGAGGCCATCAGTGGCCCATCCTCACGGACCCACTACAGACTGCAGGAGGCCATCAGTGGCCCATCCTCACAGACCCACTACAGACTGTAGGAGGCCATCAGTGGCCCATTCTCACAGACCCACTACAGACTGCAGGAGGCCATCAGTGGCCCATCCTCACGGACCCACTACAGACTGCAGGAGGCCATCAGTGGCCCATCCTCACAGACCCACTACAGACTGTAGGAGGCCATCAGTGGCCCATTCTCACAGACCCACTACAGACTGCAGGAGGCCATCAGTGGCCCATCCTCACAGACCCACTACAGACTGCAGGAGGCCATCAGTGGCCCATCCTCACAGACCCACTACAGACTGTAGGAGGCCGTCAGTGGCCCATCCTCACAGACCCACTACAGACTTCAGGAGACTGTCAGTGGCCCATCCTCACAGACCCACTACAGACTGCAGGAGGCCATCAGTGGCCCATCCTCATAGACCCACTACAGACTGCAGGAGACTGTCAGTGGCCCACTCTCTTATGGACTCACACTACAGACTGCAGGAAGTTGTCAATGGCCCACCTCTCTGCTTTCCCACCTCCACTGGTGACCTTTGCAGAAGCTGGAGCCTCCACTGGTGACCTTTGCAGAAGCTGGAGCAGATGTGATGTAACCTGGTCCTCAGGACTGACTGGAGTCAGATGAACTTCTAGGGATGAGCTGACAGAGATGTTCGCTTGGCTCTACCATGATGTTTACTGGCAGAGTCTAATCCACATGTTGGTGTAGTTTTACAAGTTGTCTTCAGGACTGGATCAAAGTTTACACCAAACGTCAAAGTTCTCTTGAGATGTGGGCCTCACTGCATATTCTAGGCTGGTCTTGAAAACGGTCTGTGTACCAAGCTAACCCTGGTTTCACTATCTGTGTACCAGGCTAGCCTTGGTTTCAGTATCTCTATTAGTTACCTTTTGTTGCTGAAATACCATGGCCGGCAGTACTTAATGGGAGAGTTACTCTGGCTCACAGATCCAGAGGAGAGTCAGTAAAGGCGAGGAAAGGATGTCAGCAGGAACAGGAGGTGGAGGGAGAACGGCAGTGGGGCGCTTCCTCCAGCAAGGTTCCCTCGTCCTAAAGGGTCCACAACCTCTCAGACAGCGGCACCAACTGGGGACCCAGTGCTCAAATGTGAAAACCATGGAGGGCGTTTCCTCAACCAACCACAGCGTCCTGCCCTAGCTGCCCAAGTGCTAGAAGTATAGGTGTGTGCCACCATGCCTGGCTCAAAGTTTACAATTTTTAACGCTGGAGAGGAGGTCTGGGATAAGGTCAGGTTTATTCAAAACAGTGCACTCAGGACACAGAATCAGCAACGCCGCTGCTGATCCAGCCTCTCGCTCCCAAGGGAGATGGGGAAGGTCCGGAGAAGGTCACCGAGCTGTGGCTTCAGCAAGCCCTCCACAGTCCAAGGCCGGGGAGAAGTGGGGGTGCCTCTTCTCCCCTGCTCTTACCCGGTCACGAATCTCCAGAGAAGACCATGCCCATTGACCCAAGCCGCTCCAATACAATTGTTTATCGGACCAAATTCCCACAACAAATTTCAGTGTCACCACACTACCTTCCTACCAAATGTGGATTAGCTAACACGGTAGACAAGTGAGAGGCTGACCTCAAGCCGTTCTGACACATGGAGCAGTCAGTCCACTGTGCCACCCCCGGTCATTCCTTTCTTTGGTGCTGGGCCGTGGACCTCAGTACCCTGGCATCCTACCACTAAGCCATAGAGTTCCAGCATCTGGCCATTTTATTATTATCTTTACATGGTCTAGTGACGTGGAGGCTGAAAGGATGTGGTGGGTCTAAGTCAACAGAGACATCTCCACCAGCCTCAGCCACCTCACAGGTGTAAACCCTCATACCAAAAAGGCCTTACGGCAGAAGGTGGATAAAATCAGGAACAAAATTTGGTCTTGATCTTATTGTCCCTTGTAAAGTTAAATATAAGTCAGGGTTGGTTGGATGGCTCAGCAGGCAAAGGCACTTGCTACGAAGCTGGACGACCTCAGTTTGGTCTCTGGGTACCACGTGGTAGGAGGAGAAAACTGACTCCCACATCTTGTCCAGTGCCCCAGTCCCACCCAAATAAACAATTTCTTTTTAATTAAAAAAGCCCCCAGACTGGCGTCTGAGGTATCAATAGTGGTAAAGAAGGAAGTATTTTAAATCTGGGCTCAGGCTCTTCTCAG